CAGAATTTCCTTCCTGGGGCCGGCCTGGTGGCACATTGGTTATGTGTGCATGTTCCACTTCCGTGGCCTGGGGTTCACAGGTTCGGATCCCGGGTGTGGACATGGCACCACTTGGCAAGCCATGCTGTGGTAGGCGTCCCACGTATAAAGTAGAGGAAGACGGGCACGGATGTTAACTCAGGGCCAGTCTTCCTCAGCAAAAAAAAGAAGAAGAATTTCCTTCCTGAGTAATCTTCCCTTGTGCGTAGATGTCTTTCTTACCCCCTCATCCCCCGACGGACCTTTGAATGGCTTCCACCTTTCGGCTCTTGTGAATGATGCCACTGCGAGCGTGAGTGTTCCAATATCTCTTTGAGATCCTGCTTTCAATTCTTTTGTGTCTATACCCGCAAGTGGAACGGCCGGATCCTACAGTCATCCTATTTTTAATTTTTTTGAGGAACTGCGAAACTGTCTTCCCCAGCAGCTGCAGCGTCTTGCGTTCCCACCGGCCGCGCGCGGGGCTCCCAGCTCCTCCACATCCTCAGCAACGCTTCTCTGGTGTTTTGACAGCAGCCGTGCCTGCGGCGGGGGCGGTGGTGTCAGGGGTTTCAGTTGTGTTTCCCTAATGACCAGCGAGGCCGAGCGTCTTGTCGGGCACTTAGGGCCACTCGTGTGTCCTCTCTGGAGAAACATCTATTCAAGTCCTTTGCTCTGATTTCGCTCGATTCACTTCAGCTTAAATGTGCAGACCCGCGTGCGGCTTGTGGCTGTCGTACAGGACAGCACAGATCTGTGTCCCCCCAAACGCCCACACTGGAGTATTTTGCGGTAAGATGCAGACGTTTTATCCTTTCAGCCCTGAAGATTTCAGGAGGCATTTGTAAAAAGTAAGAACTCTAAAGAAAAAAAAAAAAGAACATAATGCCATTATTACACCTTGATTTTTTTTTTTTTTTGCTGAGGAAGACTGGCCCTGAGCTAACATCTGTGCCTATCTTCCTCTACTTTATATGTGGGACGCCTGCCACAGCATGGCTTGATGAGCGGTGTGTAGGTCCGTGCCTGGGATCTGAACTGGCAAACCCCAGGCCACTGAAGCAGAACGTGTGGACTTAACCACTGCACCGCCAGGCCTGTCCCTACTCCCTGAATTTTAATCACAATTCTTAGCTTCAAGGAGCCTTTGGTGCCTGGCGGTGTGAAGCTGATGATTCATAAACCTTTCCAGACGTGCTCCAGGGCGACACGTGGCAAACAGCAGGCGGTGGAGGAGCTGGGGTCTGGGGGCTGCTCTCCCCCCCGGCTGTCCTGTGGCCAGAGGACTTTGGCAGTTGTCACCCAAGGTGACGTTCACAATGGCGGTTACCATGATTGCAGCAGCATCAATCACTTAGCAAGCACTTCACGACACGTGAGGATCCCAGGTGTTTGTGAATGACAGCCCTGTGGGGCGGGATGCAGTCTGTTATCCCCATCTTCCAGATGGGGAAACTGAGGCACAGAGGGATACGTAACTGGTCACAGGGCACACAGCTCCGAAGCGGCAGCCCTGGGATGGGAACCCCGCCCCCGGGCTGCCAAGCCGGCCCTGACCCGTGCCCCACCCCAAGGCCCCAGTGCCTCCAGCAAAGGGCTCCGCTCGTCCAGCTGTGCCCGATGCCCACCCGGGGTGCTCACGGGCCGCCTTTTAATGGCAGCTTCATGGTGTCGCTGCTGCGACTCGGCCGCGTTGCTGCACACGCAGCAGCCCTGGCCCGTCTGCTGGCTGCCGCCCTGTCAGACCCGGGTCCTGAGAGTCAGTGTGAGGCCCGGGGGGCAGAGGCTGTGGCATCTCTGACCTTTTCTCCTCCGCCGGCAATGTGTCGCCGTCCTCGCTGCAGAATCATATCGGTACCAGCACCCATTGTGCGCAAACCACAGGCCAGATCCTTTTCCAAGGGCCTCTCGCCCGCATGGGAAGTTGGGGCTGTGATTATGCCCATTTTACAGGTCAGCACACTGCGGCCCAGAGAGGCAGAGTCAGTCGCCCAAGGTCACCCAGCCTGTGCGTGGCGGAGAAGGATTTGAACGCCTGGCTCCAACCCTAGGACTGTCACCTGGGCCTCCTGACACCAACCCGATGGGAGACATAGATGCCACCCCAGGTGCCCGAACAGGGGGACCCATCTTGGGGGAGCCCCAGGCCTGCCGATCATTGATGTATTCCTCTCTCTTGATTATGGAAACTTTCAAAAATCTACAAAGTACCTAGAACGCGGTGATGAAGCCCCCAGGTACCGATCACACAGCTTCGACAGTTGTCAACATTTAGCCTTTCTGTTTCAGAGTGTGACACCCCCTCTCCCCCACCGCTCGAAGATGAGGATTTAATTTTTAGGGTTTTTTTTTTCCCCCTGAGGAAGATTAGCCCTGAGCTAACATCTGCCGCCAATCCTCCTCTTTTTGCTGAGGAAGACGGGCCCTGAGCTACATTTTAAATGCTCGTGTAACTGACAGCCCATCTCGATGTAGAATAGTTCCCTCTCCTGGCTTTATTTCTCTGCTGTCACCAGCGGAACGAAAACACACAAATCAAAGCTTCTCACGGAGGAGTCTGGAGCCACCCGCTGGACGTCCACTGCGGACCCCGTTGGAGAAGCCTGTCCAGGAAGCAGCCCCTCCCGGCTCTCGTTCTGCGGGTCCAGAGTTTGCAGGGCTGGGGCCACCACCCCGACACTGAAGGCAGGAGGAGCGGAGAACCAGCCGGAAGCTGGCTGCCCTCTCAGAGCCGCCCTCCAGGCCGGGAGCTCTGGGCACCTGGGTCCTGGATGGGACGGGAGACCACGTTCCCCGGTGTCGTGACAGAGGCTTTCGAGCTCTTTCCAGGGCCCGGGGCTCGAGAGGAAGAGGAAGCCGCTTGATGCTCCCAGTTCCTCCTCCCTGTTTCGTGCCGCTCTCTTCATCGCTTTTTGCAATCTGAACTATTCCAAGCATTTATAATATGATAACAAAGGCCTGCATGCCGTCACCCAGCTTCATCTGGACATTTTTACCATATTTGCTTCAGATTTTGAAAGAGGAACGATATAGGGTCTGGCCCCGTGGCCGAGCGGTTAAAGTTCTGTGTGCTCTGCTTTGGCGGCCCAGGTTCAAGGGTTCGGATCCCAGGTGTGGACCTACATACCGCTCACCAAGCCATGCTGTGGAGGCATCCTGCATAGAAAAAGCAGAGGAAGGTGGGCACAGGTGTTAGCTCAGGGCGAATCTTCCTCACCAAAAAAAAAAAAAAGAGGAACAATATAATGAGAGGACCTTGTGTGTGGGATGGTGGTTAAGGGTGGGGATTCTGGGGTTACCCTGCCTTGGCTCAGATCCCGGCCTGGCCACTCACCAGCTGAGGGAACTTGGGCATGTTGCTAGCCATTCTGAGCCTCAGTTTCCTCATCTGCAGAGTGGGGCTAATAAAAGTACCTGCCTTATGGGGATTTAGAGAAAGTGAGATGGGTTAACACGTGTAGAGTGGTTAAAACCAGTGGCCGGCACACAGTGGGCCTGCGGTCTGTGTGACGCATCGTTATCCTCATTGTGGTCCATCCTCGTCCTTTGCGGATTCCGTATTTGCGGGTTCGCGTACTCGCTAACATTCGTAACCCGGAAATCGGCAGCCCCAGTGCTGTCCTGGCCGCCCGCGGAAGCGAGCAGCGCGGAGGAAAGTCGGAGTCGTCCGGAGCTCACGCTCCCGCCGAGGTTGCCTGGGCGCCGCTCTGCCTTCTCGTCTCGGCTCTCGCGCTGTAAACAAGTGTCCTTTTTGTGGCTTCTTTAGGGCCACGTTTTTTGCAGTTTGTGCTTTTTGTTGGTGATTTCACTGTCGTGAATGACTCCCCGCGTGGCCCCCGAGGGCGGCCCGGCGTCCGTACTCGCGGGCAGGGCGTGGTGGTCGGTGGAGGAGATGCGAGGCTTGCGTGAGGCTCCGCTGTCGGCTGTGCGCTCCCCGCGAAAAGGCAACAGTGTCTGCCGGATGATGTCTTTGCGCAGAAAGGGTAACCAAGGGCTGATGGAAATGTCGCCAGAGGCTCTCTGGAGCCTAACGCGGGGTTTCGGTGGCGCGGTGCTCGTCCTGGGGGTTCACGGCGACTTCACAGAACATGGGGACCCGAACAAGGGACAGCGACCGTTATGTTAGATGGAAATGCCAGTAAGTGCTGTGGAATAACGCCATCTCCCACAGGACAGCGTGTGATGTGTGTGCATATCGTGTACGGGACAACGTCTCGTGGTGTTTATGTGGCTTTACACTTGTGTCTGACCTCTGCTTTCCCACTTCCCCGTGAACCTCGTCTCTTCAACCCTTCCCCCTCTCTCTGTCTCTGTCTCTCTCTGAGTCTCTGTCTCCCTTTGTCTCTGTATCTGTGTGTCTCTCTCATCTGTCTCTGTCTCTGTGTGTCTCTGTCTCTCTTGTTCTCTGTCTCTGAGTCTCTGTCTCCCTCTTCCTCTCTGTCTCTCTTTGTCTCTGTATCTATGTGTCTCTCTCCGTCTGTGTCTCTCTGTTCTGTCTCTTTGTCTCTGTCTCTCTCTGTCTCCATCTCTGTCTCTGTCTCTGTCTTTCCATCTCTGTCTCTCTCTGTCTCCATCTCCGTCTCTGTCTCTCTCTGTCTCTGTCTCTCCGTCTCTGTTTCTCTGTCTCTGTCTCTCTGTTTCTCTGCCCCTGTCTCTCTCTGTGTCTCTGTCTCTGTCTCTCTCCATCTCTGTCTCTGTCTCCATCTCTGTCTCTCTCCATCTCTGTCTCTGTCTGTCTCTTTGTCTCTGTCTCTCTGTCTCTCTCCATCTGTCTCTGACTCTGTGTTTCTCTGTCGCTCTGTCTCTCTCTGTCTCTCTGTCTCTCTGTCTCTGTCTCTGTCTCCGTCTCTGTCTCTCTCTGTCTCCGTCTCTGTCTCTCTCCGTCTGTCTCTGTCTCTCTCTGTCTCCGTCTCTGTCTCTCTCTGTGTCTCTGGCTCCGTCTCTCCCCCTCGCTCACAGCCTCTCTCACCCTCTCTCCGCAGCTGGCTCCCGAGAGGACGCTCCCCACGTCCCCGGCTGGGGGCCCCGCGTAGACCTGGAGTGGACGCCCCCTCCTTCCCTTCATGCTTCGTCGGTAGCGCAGGTAAGCGGCGAGCAGCCCCGTTCATGCCACGTGGGGGCCGTTGTCCCTGGCGGAGCCCGGCCACCTCCACCAGCCCCTCCTCTCCCGGGCGCCCGGGTCGCTGGCCATCGCCTCTCGCTCCCCGTCCCCTCCAGAGTGGGCAGCGCCCTGGCTGGCCTCGTCCCCGTGGGCTGGTGGGGAAGCGCAGGGCCCTGAGGGCTGCAGACCTGGCGACCCGAGAAGGAGGAATCGTAGGCGGGGCCGGGAGACGGAGGCAGAGAGAGCGCCGTCCCCACCGCCAAACGCAGCCAGGGCCTTGGGGACGGTCCCCACGGCCAGCTGGGGGAGGGGGCGTGATGCGCGTGTTTCTGTGTGTTGCACGCTCTCCTGTAGACCAGGCCTGTCGACCCCGGGCCCAAGCGTGTGCGTGTGTGCGCGTGTGTGTGTGTGTGCACGTGTGTGTGTGTCCCGTGCCTGTTTCTGGCCAGACCGTCTTTCGCTCTCATCACATTCTCCAAGGCCCCGTTCAGGGCAGACCCTTGCCCGACCACGAGAGGTCACCCGAGACCCTAACCCTTATGTCACAGAGTGGTCGCGGGCGGGGGGAGCTGGGTGGTGGTGAGGAGGTCACGGGCATTAAGAGGATGCTCTTCCAGACTGTGAACCAGCCGAGGGCGCGTGTGTGAGGTTATAGCAGTTTGGGGGCATCCGTGACAGTCACCACATTCTCAGTGAGGTTCAGGACCTCCCCCACCCCCCCCAAAAAAGAGGGTTGGAACTCCATGGCCCTGGGTCTAAGTTGGTGCCTCTGAGGGACCGCGTCCGCTTTCTCGTGGCGTCCTGCCCGCATCCTTGAGGTCAGATGGTGGGGGTGGGTGCGCAAGTATGAGCGCTTCAGTTTCCTCCTCTGAAAACGGGACTGATGACATCCCTTCCCCACGGGGGCCACGCGGACTCACATTTGGGACAGAGCTGGCACAGGGTGCCCCCGACAGGTGTGCGCCATCCTCGTCCTCGTCGTGCCGGCCGGCTCAGCCTGCCTCCTCGGCTCCTCTGACTTGGGGCGCCCGTCCTCCTGGTCCCTCGCCTCACTCCCCTTCCTCGAGAGCCACACTGTGTGCGTCTTCACGGGGGTCCCAGTGCCAGGCCGTGGGGCCCTTCCTGCCGCCTCCACTGCCCCTTCCCTCACCTGCCCATCTGCAGACGCCCCTGCCGCAGTCCACTCGGGGCCAGGCCCTGCGTGCAGCGAGGCAGGACGGCGTGGTGGCAGGAGCACGGGCTCCGGAGCCAGACTGCCTGGGTTCGAGGCCGCCCGGCAGCTGGGAGACGGAGAATGAGGGTCTCTATGCCTGCGTCTGCTCATCTGCAAAGTCGGGGTGGCGGGACCCACCTCTCGGGATACCCTGAGGATGAAATGAGTGACAGGCGTGTGGATCCCTGGCTACGGGGCCTGCGTGTGATCGGGGCTCACGAGGGCTCGGTTGATGTCATCGTCCTCGGAGGCCAGGGAAAGGCAGCCGTCCCTGGTCAGGAGGCTCCTGGTGGGGAGCTGCTCCCCACCCCCACCCCCGCCCACAGACTCGGGGGAACAGAAAGCTGACCCCTCCAGGGCCTTGGCCCCCAGGAATGGCCCTTGAGGGGGAGGGCCCTGGCCCACGGCCGACGTCTAACCTGGTCTCCCTTGCCCTCCCCCCGCCCGGCCCCGTCCAGTGGCGATGGATGATGAGGATGGGAGATGCTTACTGGACGTGATTTGGTGAGTAACGGGTTCCCCCCCTGACCCCCGCCCCCCGCCCCCGCCCCGCACCTCCTCAGTGTCTCCCCTCTTCTCTCTTTCAGTGACCCTCAGGCCCTCAACGACTTCCTACATGGATCCGAGAAGGTGAGAGCCGAGGCCGGGCGTGGGGGTGTGGAGTTGGGAGCTGGGAGGCATGTCCCCCAATTCCGTAGGCATCTGCCCCCTGCCTTCTGTGAGCCGAACGTTGGGGTTACGGCGGGGGGCGGGGGCAGGGGGTGGCACAGAACTGATGGCAGATCCCTGCCCTCACACCACTCGCGGTTTCCCGGTAAATAATGCGGCCGGTAACTGATTCAGGTGACAGCGGAAAGCCCCGTGCAGAGTACAGTGAGCAATGATAACGTCACTCGCACAACAAAAACGGCTGAAAAGAAAAAGACTGGGTGGGGGCAGGGGCTCCTAAGACCCTCTCCTTGTGGTCTGAGTGGGTCACTCTAAGGAGGTGACATTGAAGGTGAACCTGACGGATCAAAGGGAGGTGCTCCGGGCAGGGCGAGAGCGTGGCACGTTCGAGGAACAGAAAGAAGGCCGATGGGCCGGACTGAAGGGGAAACGCGTAGGTGGGAGACTGGAGTGGACGCGGGTCACCAGGTCGTCCTGGGCCTAGAAGCCCCTGATGGAGGAGTTCAGGTTTTATCCTGAGCGCGACAGGTGGCTCTGCTGGGTTCTTAAGCAGGAGAAAGCAACATATGATTTGCACCCCAAAGAATGGGACAGAGCCGGGATGCGTGCAAGTCTGTAGAGTCGAGGGGTGCATCCGCCATCTACGGCCGTCTAACAAATTATCCCAACGCTGAGTGACTCCGGACCTTTGAGAGCGCTCTCACGGTTCCCAAGGGCCGGGTGGGTGTCGTGGCTCGGGGTTCCTCCTGGGGCCGCTGTCATCCTAGGGCTTGTCTGGGGCCGGAGGACGGGCCTCTGCGATGACTCATCCCCTTGGCTGTTGGCTGGCGGCTCGGCACGTGGGCCTCTGTGTGGGGCTGCGTGAGGGTCCCCAAGACACGGTGGCCAGCTTCCCCAGAGCAGGTGGCCCAGAGCTGGGAGGAAGCTCCGTGCTTTTTATGACCGGTCACTTCATCACGTGGTGTCCCCAGGAGCGGGTTGCTAAGCCGGGGTGCCCTCAGAGGCAGGGGACTGGAGCTCCTCTGGTTGGAAGGAGGAGTGTGGGGTGATCTGTGGAGGGGAGGCAAGTGGCGTGGGACGCTGATGGCCGGGGCCACGGGGCGGGCAGCAGAGGAGGTGCGAGGCGCGCGCAGTGGGACCACGCTCTGGGATGCAGAAGCAGCTAGACTCGCTGGCGGCTTCGATGTCGAGGCCGAGGGAGCGTCTGGAATGCCTCCCGGGTTCGGGCCTAAGCGGCTGAGCGGGTTGTGGTACCGTTTTCTGAGTCGAGGCATTTGGGGCGGATTCCAGAAGCCCGAGGGGTCCGTTGGCTGCAGCAGCTGGGGGTTCTGTACCAACAGCAGGAGGAGGGAAGTGGGGGGACCTTGGCCGTGGACACACATTCCGCGGGCACTGACGTGGATGCCAGGCCCTGTTCTAGGTTCTGAAGACGCCCCTGGGAGTCAGACAGGTCCCTGCCCCCCCGGAGACAGGCGCAGGTGCCCGCATGGTGGGGCCTGCTGGGTCTTGGGCTGCATAGAGAAAGGAGTGACTTAGTAAGAGGGGACGGGAGGTGGCTGGGAGGACGTGGCCTATGTGACAGGTCCTGAAGGACGTGTTGCTAAAGAGGACGGGCAAAAGGCAGGGGGCACGGCTTGGGCAGCGGCGTGGAGGTGGGATCCGAGAGGCAGGCATGGCGGGAGAGGCTCGGACTCAGTGTTGGGGCTGCCTAGGGTTTTAAACGGGCTGCCCAGCCCCTTTCTTTGGGCCTCTTTCTCTGGAAGCAGAGTTTCCTGTGCCCCTCGCCCCCTCCCCGCCCCCTACCTCCTCTGTCTTTTTGCTCCCATGTCACCCTGAGCTGGTTTTTGTTCTAAGGCGTGGGGCTGCCCGCTGCCCAGCTGACCTCTGACCTCGGGCTGGGGCGGGTCTCGTTGCAGCTCGACAGTGATGACCTCCTGGATAACCCTGGGGAGGCCCAAAGTGCCTTCTATGAAGGTCCTGGGGTAAGTGGCTCCCGTCATGGCCCAGCTTGCCCGAGGTGGGCGGGGTCCGAGGTAGGGGAGGGGTCCCACTCGTCCCCCACCCCCTGGGCACTTTGCTGGAGGAGGAGAGCAGGGGGCAGTCACTGAGAGCAGCGTGGTGTGGAGGGGGGCCCATGGCTGCTGGACCACCCGGGCTGGGCCCGCAGGCCCCTAGAGAGGGAGGTGAGGGTGCTGGGCCCCGGCCCTCCCAGGCTGGTGCAGAGCTGTTCTGGGAGCCGAGACAGACGCCGGCCCAGGGGTTCCAGGGGACACTTCTGGGGACCAGGGGCTATGTGACCTGGGGAATGGGGAGACCGTCCCCCACAGACCCCCGTCTCCACCTGGAAAATGAAGTCAAGGGTGATGAGCACAGCCCAGAGTGGGGAAGGCAGAAATTCACTGAGCTCCCACTGTGTGCCGGGCTGGGCCGGGCCCGTTCCTGAGTGCCACTTGTCCTCTCTCCTCCCCCTCTGTCATTGTCACTGTCGTTTACGGAACGCTTATGGTGTGCCAGGCTCTTTAGGGTAATTTTTATTCAGTTCTCACAAGGACTATACTCATATACTCCACACGATTTTTCTTGCATAATATAAATGGTTAAATGCAGAACCCAGCAAATAAACATCACGTCCGTGTTGCTACATTTATAGACCCAGGAGCAGCGAGGAGCCTGTAGTCTTAGTTTGTGGTCGTTATTCATCTCATTGCCATCATTTTTTAATTCCTGTAAAGTCTCTGTTCCGGTTCTAAGCACCTCCTCGTACGTGATATTGGTGAATGTCACCACCTGCCCAGGCGGCGAGTTTGGTTATGGCCAGTTAGCAGTTAAGAACTCGGAACTGGGCTGGCCCTGTGGCCAAGTGGTTAAGTTCGTGTGCTCCACCTCGGCTTCCCGGGGTTCACCGGTTCGGATTCTGGGTATGGACCTATACACCGCTCATCAAGCCATGGTGTGGTGGCATCCCACATATAAAGTAGAGGAAGATGGGCACAGATGTTCGCTCAGGGCCAATCTTCTTCAGCACAAAAAAAAAAAAAAGAACTCAGAACTGCCTGGTTGTCGGTAGGGGGCTGTGTGGGCCCCATCCTTCCAGACACTTCCCTCCACTCAGCAGCTGAGTGGCCAGGTAGTGTCCCCATCTGGGAAACGAGGCTGGGGGCAGTGCCCGTCTCACTGGGCTGTTATGAACAACAACAACGTGGACAGTAATAATAATGATGGATGATGTTTCTCATGCACCAGCTGGCCGCCAGGTCCTGCCATGAGCTCTCCACATGGATTAACTCAGAATCTGTCAAACTACACATTCTGGTCCATTATCTGGTCAGATATCAGCGGGTATTGCATGCCGTCAGCGTGATCGTTGCTGCGGGAGTATTTGCTCAAGTACGCACACGTATATCGATTTATAGGCTTGTCCTGGATCGCCATCCAGAACAGCGTGGGAAGCATTTAAGAAACAGCAAACTCACCACACAGCCGGCGCAAAGTGAGACTTGGGTCCGGCCGCCGCTGTGCCGCTATTTTTAACAAAACCACCATCTTTTACCCCAAACGTTTGGGGCCAGGTGTGTTTCGGAATTCAGGCCTTTTCAGGTTCTGGAAAGCTGATGCGGACGTGCGTGCGCTGCGTGCAACACGGCACACGCTCTCCCTCTCTGTGGCCAACTTAAGAAGAGTTGCGTGACGTGGATAAATCGTGTCTTTTCCCCCGAGAGTGCCACGTCGGTTCTGGTCAGGTTTTGCCGCCAAAAGAGTTAGAAAAATGTCGAGTTTTTGGAGCTTTTTGGGTTTCGTAATTGAAGATAAGTATTATGGGCCTGTAGGACTGTTTAAAAAAATGGGTTTTAGGGGCCAGCCCGGTGGCACAGCGGTTAAGTTCGCGTGTTCTGCTTCGGCGGCCCGGGGTTTGCCGGTTCGGATCCTGAGTGCCAATATGGCACCACTTCGCAAGCCATGCTGTGGCAGGCATCCCACATATAAAGCAGAGGAAGATGGGCATGGATGTTAGCTCAAGGCCAGTCTTCCTCAGCAAAAAGAGGAGGATTGGCAGCAGATGTTAGCCCAGGGCCAATCTTCCTCAAAAGAAAAAAAAAGGGTTTTATTACATTCTACTGATGTGTACACATGGGGAAACAGCCCAGATTCAGCAGGCACATGGCACAGCTAAGCCCTGGCAGAGCTGGGATTTGAATCCACGTCCAGCCACGTCCAGATGGATGTTCTTTCTGATCGTGCCACCTTGACACCCAGTGTCCTTTGCTTGTGCCACGCCGGCCCTTGCTAACCTCAGCTCTTTCCTTCCACCTTCCCCGGCCTCTAGCTCCATGTGCAAGAAGCCTCTGGCAACCACTTGAACCCTGAGCCCAGCCAGCCGGCCCCCAGCGTGGACCTAGACTTCCTGGAAGATGACATTCTGGGCTCGCCAGCAGCGGGGGGCGGTGGTGGGGCCGGCGGGGGCGCCGACCAGCCCTGCGACATCCTCCAGCAGAGCCTCCAGGAAGCCAATATCACCGAGCAGACGCTCGAGGCTGAGGCCGAGCTGGACCTGGGCCCCTTTCAGCTGCCCACCCTGCAGCCCGCGGATGGCGGAGCGGGCCCACCAGGGGCCGGAGGGGCTGCCACCGTGGCCGCGGGGCCCCAGGCCCTCTTCCCTGGTGGCCCTGACCTGCTGGGGCTGCAGGCCCCACCCACCGTGCTCACCCACCAGGCCCTGGTGCCGCCCCCCGACGTGGTCAACAAAGCCCTGAGCGTCCAGCCTTTCCTGCAGCCGGTGGGCTTGGGCAACGTGACCCTGCAGCCCATCCCCGGCCTCCAGGGATTGCCCAACGGCAGCCCCGGGGGCGCCACGGCCGCCACCCTGGGCCTGGCCCCCATCCAGGTGGTGGGCCAGCCAGTCATGGCGCTCAACCCGCCCACCTCCCAGCTCCTGGCCAAGCAGGTACCAGTCAGTGGCTATCTGGCTTCTGCGGCCGGCCCCTCGGAGCCAGTGACCCTGGCATCGGCTGGTGTCCCACCCCAGGGGGCCGGCCTGGTCATCCAGAAGAACCTGCCGGCCGCTGTGGCCACCACGCTCAATGGGAACTCGGTGTTCGGAGGCGCGGGAGCGGCCACCGCAGCAGCCAGCGGGGCGCCCTCAGGACAGCCGCTGGCGGTGGCCCCCGGCCTTGGCGCGTCACCACTGGTCCCTGCGCCCAACGTGATCCTGCATCGCACGCCCACGCCCATCCAGCCCAAGCCGGCGGGCGTGCTGCCCCCAAAGCTCTACCAGCTGACCCCCAAGCCGTTCGCCCCCGCGGGCGCCACGCTCACCATCCAGGGCGAGGCGGGGGGCCTCCCGCAGCAGCCCAAGCCCCCCCAGAACCTGACTTTCATGACAGCGGGCAAGGCTGGCCAGAATGTGGTGCTGTCCGGCTTCCCCGCGCCCGCCCTGCCGGCCAACGTCTTCAAGCAGCCTCCGGCCACCACCACCGGGGCGGCCCCACCCCAGCCGCCCGGGACCCTCAGCAAGCCCATGAGCGTCCACCTCCTGAACCAGGGCAGCAGCATCGTCATCCCCGCGCAGCACATGCTCCCGGGCCAGAACCAGTTCCTGCTGCCCGGCGCATCCGCGGTCCAGCTCCCTCAGCCGCTCTCCGCCCTGCCGGCCAACGTCGGGGGGCAGATCCTGGCGGCTGCGGCCCCCCATGCGGGCGGACAGCTCATTGCCAACCCCATCCTCACCAACCAGAACCTGGCGGGCCCGCTGAGTCTGGGCCCCGTGCTGGCGCCGCACTCGGGGGCGCACAGCGCGGCGCACATCCTCTCGGCCGCCCCCATCCAGGTGGGCCAGCCCGCGCTCTTCCAGATGCCCGTGTCGCTGGCCGCAGGCAGCCTGCCCACGCAGAGCCAGCCTGCGCCCGCCGGCCCCGCGGCCACCACCGTCCTCCAGGGGGTCACGCTGCCCCCCAACGCCGTGACCATGCTCAATGCCCCCGACGGTCTGGTGCAGGCGGCCACCCCTGCCGCCGCCTCCGGGGAGGCCACGCCGGTGCTCGCGGTGCAGACGGCCCCCCAGGGGCCCCCGGCCGTCAGCACGCCACTGTCTCTGGGCCTCCAGCAGCCGCAGGCGCAGCAGCCGCCCGCGCAGGCCCCCACCCCTCAGGCTGCCGCCCCGCCTCAGGCCACCACCCCCCAGCCCAGCCCGGGCCTGGCGTCCAGCCCAGAGAAGATCGTCCTGGGGCAGCCTCCCTCCGCCGCCACCACGGCCATCCTCACTCAGGACTCCCTGCAGATGTTCCTGCCCCAGGTAACCAGGGCCGGGGGGTGTGGGGTGGGGGGTATGGGGGAGGGACCAGGGGGAAACTGGATGTGGCTGGGCAGCAACTGGGGAGGGTCTCGTGGGTTAGGGAGAGCATCTTGGAGGTGGCACCCCTGCTCTGGGTATGGGCGTCCCCTAGGATGAGGCTGAGGGTGACAGGAAGCCAGACAGACGGGGGAGGGCCCCTCTGACAGACAGATTGTCAAAGAGAGGGATTGGTTGACTGACAGAAAGACAGACACAGAGACTGAACGGCTGGCTGGCTGGCTGACAGAAAGATTGACAAGGAGGGGGACTGACACATAGACAGACTGTCCTGTTGGACCATTGAAGAGGGATCACAGAGAGCGGGCAAGACGTGGACGGACAGATTGGGCAGAAGATGGAGAGGAGATGGCGCTGGGAGATGACCCACAGGGACCCCGTGGGACGAGCTGCCCAGTATGCAGCCCCCCTGGCACCTGGACCCCAGGATCCCAGCCCCCCCCCCCCGACCGGGGGCCTCTGTGCCTGGCCTCTCGGTGCCCCTCCCGCCCGGTTCCCACCCCTGCTTCTCTGGAGCATCAGTTGGGGCGGGGGTCTCGGGGTGGGGGGCTGCGGGTCCGTGCGGGTGGCCTTCTGACCCTGTGCGGGCTGCCCATTTCAGGAGAGGAGCCAGCAGCCCCTCCCCACAGAGGGCCCCCACCTCTCCGTGCCCGCCTCCGTCATAGTCAGCGCCCCGCCTCCCGCCCAAGACCCAGCCCTGACGGCCCCTGTCGCCAAAGGAGCTGGCCTCGGCCCTCAGGCCCCCGACAGCCAGGCTTCCCCGGCGCCGGCCCCCCAGGTAGACGACCCCAGCAGCCGCTGCTGTCCTGGCGCAGCCCGGCCTCGCCCCCTCTCCCCGCTCCTCCTCCGCTCGCTGGCTGCCCTGCCTGCTCTCTGTCTCACCAGCTTGGGAAACGGTGCTCTCCTTCCCTCCCCAGATATTTCCTGAGGGTCCCCTGACAGTCGAGGACCCTTGAGACCAGGGCCAGCCCCGAGGGAGCCCACACCCTAGGCAGCCACACAAGAAACACACAGCAGGCAATGTGTTCTTTCCTAAAATTACCATTTTCCTATCCGGATGAGGAGTGCATCCAGATAGTTCACATTTCCAAACATTCGGAAAGATCTAAGCAAAGCCCCCTCTCCGGAACCACGGTCTCCTGCTTGTCCCTCCCTGGGCCGTTTCTTGCGTCCTTTTCCACGTGCCGACAAGCCAAGTGACGTCTGGATCCTTTTCCTCCCGTTTTTACAAAAACGATCGCATACCCCGCATGCACGAAGTTTTGCATCTTGCTTGTATTGTTTGAAAATTTATCTCGGAGACTGCGCTCTGTTCTTTTATATGACTGCGTAGTATTCCGTGGTGTGGCTCTGCTGTTATTTTTTTAACCAGTCCTTGTTGGTGAGCATTTCGGTCACTTCCGGTCTTTAGCTATTATGAGCAAGGCTGCAGAGGACGACTCTGCACATATGTCACTTTGTAGGATAAGTTCTGAAAAACGGAGATGCTAGTTCTATTTAAGAACAGATGATTTGTAGTTTTGACAAAAGTCGCCAAGTTGCCCTCTTTGGAGTATCGATTGGTTTATCCTTTATCAGCAATATATGATCTGTGCCTGTTTCCCCATAACCTCAGCCATGTATTGAACTTGGTTGGTTTGGTTGGTGAAAAACAGTATCTTGTTTTGTTTGAATTTGCATTTCTTTTACTATGAATGAGGCTGTGCAGGTGTTTATAGATTTAGAGCTATTTGTGTTTTCTTTTCTATGGAGTTGTCTGTTCCTACCCTTTGCCATTTTAAAATTTGGGTTACTGGTCATTTTCTTGTTGATTTGTAGAAACTCTTTACATATTAGGAAAATTAGCTTTTGTCTCATGTGAGTCATAAACCCATGAGAGGTGAGGGAAGGCCACATTTTATTCTGGAGCGAAGGAGGTTGTCCTTGTTCGAGAAGGACCAGTGGATAGGTAGATTAGGTTGGGTAACAAGAGGAGGGACTAACATCAGCAAGGCAGATCAGGATGGCAGAAATCAGCCAGGCTTTGGTCCTAAATGGCCATGATTTCCCTCTGAGGCTCTGCTCCTTCCTTGTGACTTTAAGCCACCAGTTTCTTCCTTCCATCAACCGATGTTTGGGCAAGGAGGCGCTTACGATGTGCCCGGCCTCATGCTGACCCTGAGCAAGTGTCTGTAACTGCTGAGCCTCAGTTTCCTCATCTGGGAAATGGGAGCAACAGTTTCTTCAACGTCTGTCAGGAGGAGTAAACGAGTTAATAGATGCTTTGCACAGAGTGAGCCTTTGAGAAATATTTGCTATTATTATTTTAGCTGTTGTTATGGGTAGAGAGTGGGTCTGGTCCAGAGGGACATGGGGCCAAGATGGCATCAGTTCCTGTCTGCAGAGGGAGGAGCAACTGGCAGCAGCAGGGGAGGGGCGAGGCCCCCTGGCCTGCGAGAGACACAAGTGGCAGCACTGTTTCTGGAGTGGGTCAGACACAGGCTTGGGTCCCTCCGGCCCGTGCCTTCCCCTCCCCGGGCCTCCCATCCACGGCTGTGACGTGGACCTGCCGGGATCCCGTGCTCCGAGCACTGGAGTTGAGAGCCGGCCCTGGGCGCACTGGTTCTCTGCCCTTTCACTCTTGCACGCTCTGCAGACACTTGTCAAGCACCTGGTGTGTGCCAGGGCTTGTCTAGACTCGCTCCTTGCTGTCCAGCCATCCCAGTTACCCAGCACTGAGGTTCTGCGGAAACAGGACTTTCAGTTTTAAAACAGAGACGGTTGGGGCTGGCCCGGTGGCACAGCGGTTAAGTGAGCACATTCCGCTTCGGTGGCCCGGGGTTCACCAGTTCAGATGCCAGGTGCACACATGGCACCGCTTGGCAAGCCATGCTGTGGTAGGCGTCCCACATATAAAGTAGAGGAAGATGGGCATGGATGTTAGCTCAGGGCCAGTCTTCCTCAGCAAAAAGAGGAGGATTGACAGCAGATGTTAGCTCAGGGCTAACCTTCCTCAAAAAAAACAAAAATCAGAGACAGTCCCCGGCAAACGGAACAGTTTGTCAGGCCACTGACTCCCTCCACCCCTCCCCAGCCACTTCCTCTCAAAGTGGAGCCCGCTCCCTCGCTCGGCCCGGGCCTCCCCTGCCGTCTTGTCTTCCCTGCCGTTTCTCCATAGCACTTACACCACCTGACCGGCTGTGTATTTTCCTTAATTACTGTCTTGCTGTCGCTGTAATATAAACACCATGAGGCAGAGAGTTGTCAGCTGTGTCCCTGCTGTGCGCCCAGAACAGCGCCTGGCACACGGCAGACACTCCGTGAGCATTTATTGAATGAATGGACGGAGGCGGGAACCCAAGCACGCGTACCGGCACCCACCCTGTCCCGCGTGCGCCACGGCGAGTTGAAGGGGAGGCTCGTTACTCACGGGCGTCAGGTGTGGTTTGAAAACCAGTCCGGGAGAGTGGTTGGGGGGTGGTAGCTAGGAACAGGGACTCTGGGACCCCAACTCTGCCACCTAGAGGCTGTGCGACCTTAGGCAAGTGGCTTACCTCTCTGTGCCTCAGTTTCCATATCTGCAAAATGAAGGTGACAATAATAGCATCTACTTCATAGGGTTGTTGCGAGGGATAGATAAATTAATGTACATACAGCGCTGGAATGGGGTCGGGCGTTTCGAAAGTTCTGCAAAGTGAAGGGTGCCAAGTGCACTTTCTATAAAGGGCCCGTACTTTCTATACTTTCTACGAAGGGCCAACAGTGAACTAAAAGTTTAGCCTTTGTGGGTCTCTGTGATTATAGCGCAGAAGTGGCCATAGACCACGCAGAAGTGAATGCGCACGGGCGAGTTCCGATAAAGCTTTATTTGTGGCCCCAGAGATTTGAATTTCCTGTCATTTTCACGAGTCACAAAATAGCATCCTTTTATTGATTTCTTTTCACCCGTTTAAGATTATAAAAACGAGTCTTAGCTTGAGGCCATACAAAACGGTGGGCCAAGGCGGGGGCGACAGGCAGAGTTTGGCCTGCGGGCCGAGATTTGCTGCATTTTGATCGTATTTCATTATATGAACACAGCGTGATTTATTTATTCGGTCCCCTCTTCATGAATCTCTAGAGTGCTTTCCCGTGTCGCTGTTAATAAACGACACTTCTATAAATATTTCTGGACCTGGGCTTTGCACATATGTGTGAAAACACCTGTAGGGTAAATTTCTAGAAATCGAATTGCTGAATCAGAGGCTCTATGCTCTTTCCAGACGTTCTATGCAAAGCGCTAAATCGGTTGCTCCTGTGCGGGGTCTGTGCCAGCGACGGCTTCTCCCGGCTTCTTCATCAACCCCAGATTGGCAACCGGCTTGCTCTCCGCCCAACCAAAAAAATGCCAGCCCTCCTGCCCTTTTCTCTATTTCCATGTGAAGCTGAGCGTCTTGCCATCTACCCCTGGGCAGTTGGAATCTCTTGGTAAACATTCCACTCATGTGGTAGTTTTAAAAAAGTGATTATAAAAATAATTTCATGCTCCTTTAGTGGATTTAAAAAAGACAGAAAAGAACAAAGAAGAGAAATAAATTACCCAGAATACCACTGTGCAGAAGCCGCTGGTAACATTTTTGGTGTAAAGGTTCCTTTCAGCCCTTTTTTTTTCCTTCCCGTCCATTTAAAACGTTTTCATTTTTTAAATTAGGTTTTACGTTCACAGGGTTCGATCATCAAAAAGCTTTTTGAAAAGGGGGAAGTGTCCCACCCACGCCTGATTCCCAGCCCACGCGCCCCTCCAGACATCCACGGTGACTTGTCTTGTGTTCATCCTTCTGGGTCTCTGTGCACACACAGCCTGGAGCAAACAGGGATTAACTTTTCTCTCCTTCCCTCTTAACCCGGAAGGCGACATGAGACGCTGACTCTGGCAGCACACGGACAGTGTCCCTAGTCCTTTGTTACGGTCACAAAGTCTTCCTCTGTACGATTAGGGGTGGACTGTCATTCGCACCCCAGTAAATGCTGTTTCGATGCACGCCTGACCAGGTCCTGGCCTCGGCCCTCCTTTCAGAGCTGTCGTAAAAACCTTGTGCACCTGTCATTTCCCACACGTGCGGGTGTATCTGTCTGGATCAAAGCAAACATGAGCTTATAATTTGGGTAGCTGCTGCTGAATGGCATTCCTCGAGTTGTAGCAAACTGTGCCAGTTTAGACCCCCACGGGCAATATACGACAGTGTGTTGATGAGACATATGGCTTATTCCGAATGTGATGAATGAAAATGGTTCCATCAGGTTCCTTTGATTTGCATTTCTGTTACAGGTAAGGTGGAGCATCTCTTGAAATACTTAAGCTTCTTGTGTTTCCTTTTCTGTACACTGTCTGATCGTATCCTTTGCCTCCCTCTTCTCACTAATTGTTATTCTTAGTGATTTCTAGAGGCTCTTTATATATGAGAGAGAGGAACTTTGTGCTATGGCTTGCAGCTGTTTCCACCAGTGTGTCATTTGGTTTTGACTTGGTTTGTGGTGTGTGTGAGTGTGTATGCATGTGTATGTATCTATTTGTCTCTGCATTTTTAATGAAAATAGATAAAAAAAAATTTTAAGTTTTGGGTATTTTTTTAACTTCCTTTTAAAATTATTTCAAACCTGTAGCAAAGTTGCAAGAATAGTACAGAGAACTCATGGGAGTTCTTTACTCTTTAACCAGATGTATTAGTCATCCACTGCTGTGTAACAAATTACCCCCAAGCTTACTAGCAGCTTCACACAACAAACACTGACTTACCTCACACAGTGTCTAAGGATCAGGAACCTGGAAGTGGTTTGGTTGGAGGGTTCTGGTTCACGTTCTCTCATGAGCTGATGGTCAAGATGTCAGCGAGGGCCGTGGTCATCAGAAGGCTTGACTGGGCTGGAGGATGCACTTTCAAGATGGCTCAGGCAGGTGGCTGTTGGCGGGGTGCCTCAGCTCCTCCCTACATGGGCCTCTTCAAAGGGGGGGCTCCTGACAGGCTCCACAGTTGGCTTCCCGCAGAGGCAACGATCCAACGGAAAAAGAATGGGAGAGTGCCCAGGCTGGAGGCCGCAGTCTGTTTCATAACCTAATCTCAAAATTAGCATATGATCACTTCCGCCAAATCCTATTGGTCAGCGAGACCAGCCCTGGTACCCCGTGGGAGGAGTCGGACCGTGAGGAGGTGGGGATTGCTGGGGTCCCATTTGGAAGCTGGCTGCCTTGCCAGATTTACCCCCTCTAAGTATTTTTCTACGTTTGCTTTATCTTTAGCTCTCTCAATATGCAGACTAGTTTTTCTGCATCATTTGAGAGTAAATTGCAGACATTACGCTCCTTTACTCCCTAACATTTCAGCCTTGGAGAACAAGAACATTCTCTTAACCACAGGAGAGTTATCAAATTCAGCAGATTCAGCTTGGAGACGATCCTGTCGTCCAGTTCGCTGTCCGTAACGCAGTTTAGCCAGTTGTCCAGCGATCACGTGGCGTCTCGTTCGGCTTGTTTCACGTAGCGTTCTGGCATGTGTGCGTCGGCCCCTTCGCTGGGCCCCGGGAGCTGAGTTGAGGGCCATGTGGACGGGCCAGCTCCCTCATCCTCACTCACCTAGCTGCTCACCTCCTGCTGACCATTTGGGTCGTTTTCCTATTTTCTCTATTGTCAACACCCCTCCAGTGGACGGCCCTGTGACCCAGTGCCTGAATGCCCCTCATCACAGATTCCTGGTGGTGGAAAGGCCAGGTCAAAGGTCATGGCCTTTTCAAAGTCACTAGATCAACCAGCTTCCGGAGGGTTGTCCAGGTGACAATGTCACCAGCCCCCTGAGTGTCGAGGGCTGGCCTTCTGATCTGTCCTTGGAGGTGGCACGCCTTCAAAGATGTATAGATTGATTGCCTGGCTGGTTTTTATTTGGAATTTCTGGAGTCACTCAGGGCTGAGCTCGGAGGCCTAAAGCGAGTCAGGACTCTGAAATCACGAGTCAGCCCACCAGGGAGGCCCGAAGCGGAGGGCCCCCGCTCGGGAGTGTGGCAGCATTAGGTGGCAAGTCCCCTGAGTCCGCTGAGCCTGGGTCCTCCTCCATCGGCTTTGAAGTCGCTGGGTGATGGGGAGGCAGGGAGGCGACCTGTCTGGAGACTCTGGACCAGGCATCTTGGCTCCCTTGCCTCAGTTTACCATCTGTGAAATGGGTCCGATGTTGTCACAGCTCTCAGGGCCGTGGAGAGACCACGTGAGTGGATAAAGGGGCCAGCCTGCGGTTGGGTACACAGCTGGCGCTCCTGGTTAAAGCGTGGCGGCCGAGGTCAGGATCCTGGGGAGGGGTCTCTGGTCGGGGGCGTGCAGAGGGCCAAGGCGCTCTGGCACAGGCTGTTCGAGGCGAGGGCACTGTGTACGTGTTACAGAACTAATGCCGGATCATGTGTGCAAGTCTGATGCCCGTGCACGCACGCACACACACACAGCACCCACACACTGATACACCAGCAACACGGCCACGCAGCACACGGAGGCAGAGGCCCTGGACACTCAGAGGGGGCCTGGCTCTGCCCCTCGGTTTCCATCCTGATGCTTGGCTTCCTGGGTCCCTGGGTGCCCCCCCATGCCCTCTGCACCCCTTGGCCCCGCACCCCGGCACGCAGCCGTGGCGTCTACGCTGGTATCTGTTCTCCTGGGTTAGCGGGACAGTCAGACCGGGCTGGCGGCTGGGACACTGCCCCCGCCAGGCGCCTCTTTCCCCTCGCTGCTGTGCTCGCGCTCCCTGGCCCCTCGCCTCCCCGCTGGGCAGCTGGTGTGGGGCCCCCGCCGCCACTGCCGCTTCCTCTGCTGCTGACCCCAAACCCTGCAGGGCTCGCCTTCAGCTGGGGGATTGGGGAGGGGGAGATCAGAGGGCAGAGGTATGGGGGGTGAGGTGGGAGACAGGTGGAGGGGTGAGGTGGGGGACAAGTGCAGGGGTGAGGCGAGGAATGAGTGGAGGGGTGAGGTGGGGGGCGGGGGGAGGGGTGAGGTAGGAGACGGGTGGAGAGGTGAGGTGGGGATGAGTGGAGGGGTGAGGTGGGGGATGAGTGGAGGGGTGAGGTGGGAGACAGATGGAGAGGTGAGGTGGGGATGAGTGGAGGGGTGAGGTGGGGGAGTGGAGGGATGCGATGGGGACAAGTGTAGGGGTGAGGTGTAGGGGATGGGTGGAGGGGTGAGGAGAGGGACATGCAGAGAAGTGAGATAGGAGACGGGTGGAGAGATGAGATGGGGACCACTGCAGGTTGAGGTGGAGGATGGGTGGAGAGGTTGGGGACTCATGGAGAGCTGAAGGGGGGGTGGGTGCCAGGGTGAGGTGGAGGGGTGAAGTGGGAGTGGAGAAGCGGGAGTGGGAAGGATGGCCATGGTGGGGCCCTTTCTGTCAGGACAAGGGATGGCTAAGAAGGGGAGTTTCTGGTGGGAGTGGCCGGGGTCCCCAGTGTCCTGGGGCCATGGGAGCCAAGGCTGGTTCTGACCCCCCGCCCCCTCCCCTCTACCTCCCTCCCCTGCCCAGATCCCGGCAGCAGCTCCGCTGAAGGGCCCCGGCCCCTCCTCGTCCCCGTCACTACCTCACCAGGCCCCTCTGGGGGACAGCCCCCACCTGCCCTCCCCACACCCCACCCGGCCCCCCTCCCGCCCCCCCTCCCGCCCCCATTCCCGCCCCCCCTCACAGCCCCAGAGCTTGTCTCGTCCACCCTCAGAGCCTGCCCTACACCCTTGCCCCCCGCCCCAGGCCCCCCCAACTCTGCCTGGCATCTTTGTCATCCAGAACCAGCTGGGCATCCCCCCACCTGCCAGCACCCCAGCCCCCACCGCCCCAGGCCCACCCCAGCCCCCTCTGCGTCCCCCGTCCCAGCCCCCGGAAGGGCCGCTGCCCCCAGCCCCCCACCTCCCTCCAGCCTCCACCTCCTCCGTGGTGGCCTCCTCCGAGACGTCCACCAGGCTGCCAGCCCCCACACCGCCCGACTTCCAGCTCCAGTTCCCACCCGGCCAGGGGCCCCACAAGTCCCCCACGCCCCCTCCAACCCTCCACCTGGTCCCCGAGCCCACAGCGCCCCCCCCACCGCCTCCTCGGACCTTCCAGATGGTGACCACCCCCTTCCCGGCGCTGCCCCAGCCGAAGGCTCTGCTCGAGAGATTTCACCAGGTAATCAAGGCAGGGCCTGGCCCCCCACTTCTCCGCAAGCCTTGCCCATCCCTACAGTCCCACCAGAGTCCCCCGCTTTACTGCTTTCTCTCCCCTCCCAGCCCTGGTGCCTGGCCGCCCCACTCCCAGCGTGTGCCCCCCACCCCTCAACCGCCTGTCCCCCCTTCAGGTGCCGTCCGGGATCATTCTCCAGAACAAGGCCGGGGGGGGCCCCGCTGCCCCGCAGACCTCCGCCAGCCTGGGGCCCCTCGCCAACCCCACGGCCTCTGTGCTGGTCAGCGGGCAGGCCCCATCGGGGACCCCCACCGCCCCCAGCCATCCCCCTGCCCCGGCACCCATGGCCACCACAGGTAGGGGAGCAGCAGGAGAGATGGGGGCCCAAAGGTGGGTGGGTGCGGGGCTGAGCAACAGGGAGGATGGGCTGGGGTAGAGCTGTGGGGGCTGTGAGCCCGGGGGGGGCCTGACCTCAGGGGACGGGGCAGGTGGAGGAGGGGGCCTGTCTCCCCAGATCCAAGGGGCACTCACTGTGGGGCTGGCGTGGCCACCAAGGCCAGACAACTGGAGGAGAGCGGGATGCAGGCTTGGGGGTCACGTTTGTAGGGTGGCCTCTGTGCCACTGACCCCTGCGCCCTGTCTGCCCCGCCCGCCCCAGGCGTCTCTCCTCTGCTTCCCGCCGAGAGCAAAGCCTTTGCCAACAGCCTCCCGACCCTGAGTGTGGCCAAGGCCGCGTCATCCGGGCCGGGGAAGTCCTCCGGGCTGCAGGTAAGGGGCCCCCAGAGCGGAGGGCAGGGGCTGGAGTGACGCCGCCAGGGGCAGGAGGGGCAGATGAGGCGGACAGGCCGTCAGGGGCAGACGAGACAGACGCGGGCGGCGGCGGGTGGATCAGCAGGACGGTCCAGGCGGGGGGCACGCCAGAGCCCGAGCCAGTTGGACAGAGACCCGCAGACACTAAGACGACAGGGTGACGATAGGTGAAAGGGCCTGAGTGAGACGGTCACGGGGGTGGGAGTGGGGACCAGGTGAGACTGTTGGGTCAGCTCAGGACAGGTGGGCAGGATGGCTGGACCAGAGACACGGGAAAGGAGACGGGCAAGACCCCAGACAGAGGGGCAGGGGGTGGCGTGGGACACTGAGAGTCCACAGAGATGGTGGCAATGGGGAGGGTCGGGACAACTGGGACGGTCGAACAGGGAGGGGCAGGGCGCGTGTGGGGAGACTGAGGCAGAGCCGGCTGTCCGGGAATGCAGGACCCAGATGAGAGAGGCGGGTGGAGGGACCAGGACCCCAGAGGTAGGGAGGGACTGTGAGGGAAGTCAAGATGGAGAGGTTGGAGGCAAAAGGGGAGGGGTCAGGGGTGGGAGGAGAGAGGCTGGGCAGTGACCACGGAGATGGGCCATCTGACGGGCAGAGAGGGAGACACCAGAAGCTCGCCTGGTGTCCAGACCAGGAGTCGGGCGAGACCCACGGTGGAGAGGGGGCTGCGGGGGACCCAGGCAGAGGGCGCCGAGGGCTCATGCCTGCCTGTCACCCTCCTCTTGCCTGTCCCCTGCCTGGGCCCAGCCTTCCCGCAGGTTGAGTGTGACGGGCAGGGCCTCCATGGCGGGGGCCGGGGTCCCCTCTGGGAGATGGCGGCGCTCTCCTGTTCTGCCCCAGGCTGGGGGAGGAGGGATCTGGGCTTCTCCTTTACAACATCTCTCCCTTCCTCCCCCCTGCAGTATGACAGCAAGCTGAGCGGCCTGAAGAAGCCACCCCCGCTGCAGCCCAGCAAAGAGGCCTGGTGAGTGGCAGGCCCGGCTCTGGGTCTTCCCGGGATGGGTGGGGGACCACCCTTCAGAAGTGGGGTCGGGCAGGCCCGAGTCCAGATGCCCGCTCCACCTGTTGTCAGCCCTGTGGGCTGGGGCACTATGGGTCCCCTCAAAGACCCTCAGTTCCCCCTAGAAAATACGGTGGCCGGAGTAGTAATAATGGGGTGAGGATTTGATGAGACTGCGTGCACCGCTGGGCTGCTGGCTTCCAGAGGGAGGGATGTGGTGTGGCTCGGTCAGTGCTGCGCCTCAGCATCTCAGACAGGGCTGGGGAGGTCCCGGTTGAGTGCCATGGGAGGGGCGGGCAGAGGGCTGGGTGCATGGGTGGATGGGTGGATGGATGGATGGATGAATGGATGGAAGGGTGGATGGATGGATGGATGGGTGGGTGGAAAGATGGACAGGTGGGTGGATGGCTGTCTGGATGGGTGGATGGATGGATGGGTGGCAGGATGGGTGGGTGGGTGGAAGGATGGGTGATGGCTGTCTAGATGGGTGGATAGATGGATGTTTTGGTGGATGAATGGCTGTGTGGATGGATGGATGTTTCGGTGGATGGGTGGCTGTCTGGATGGGTGGATGGGTGGGTGGGTGGATGGATGGATGTTTCGGTGGATGGGTGGCAGGATGGATGGGTGGGTGGAAGGATGGATAGGTGGGTGGCAGGATGGATGGAAGGATGGATGGGTGAGTGGAAGGATGGGTGATGGCTGTCTGGATGGGTGGGTGGAGGGACATCTGGGTGGGTGGAGGGGTAAATGTTGGATGCTTGCCTGTGTTCCCTCCCTCTCTTCCGCCCTCCTTTCTCCAACTATTGATCAAGTACTCACCCAGGGCCCAGTCCTGTGCTGGATTCTGGAAGCACAAGACAGACCTGCCCTGTGACATGTGGGGGCCACTGGTCTTCAGCACAGGGTGGAGACGAGCATGTCTGGTGGTAGAGACAATGACACAATAAAGAGACATAAGTCCCTGTAACATGCGCTATGGGCAGAAAACAGCCGGATGAGAGGGAACAGGATCTCACTAACGCACCAGTCGACCAGCCTCCCTTCCCTCTCCCCGAGGTTGCTGTTGGCCAAAGGCAGAGCGGGGACATGCTGACCCCAGGTGGCAGGAGACAGTATAGCATGGAGGATGCGTTTCAAGCCTTGGCGGCTGACTGCCGGCTCTGCCTCTTTGTCACTCTCTGCTTTGGGTGGAGGGCCCTCACCCCTCCCAGCCTCGGTTTCCTCATCTGTGAAATGGGCTAATGACAGCCCCGGCTTCTTCTAGTTGTCACCAGAGATTCAGTGACACAGAGCGAGCGCGTTGGGCACAGTTCACACACGTGCTTCCGGAGCGCTCGCTTTCCCGTGTGGTTGTCTGCGCTCGGGTGGGGGGATCTGGTTTCCCGAGCCTCACCCCCAGCTCTGTGTGTGTGCCGTCTCCCCCCGCCCCCCGCGCCCAGTTTCTTGGAGCATTTGCACAAACATCAGGGCTCCGTCCTGCACCCTGACTACAAGACAGCCTTCCCCTCCTTCGAGGACGCCCTGCATCGCCTCCTGCCCTACCACGTCTACCAGGGTGCCCTCCCCTCCCCCAACGACTACCACAAAGGTGAGGCCTCCCGAACTCTCCCCCGCCTGGTCCCTGGTGCGTGCGCGGAGGTGGGTGGCCAGGGCGCGGAGGGTGGGGAGGAGCAGGTGCGTGCGCGCTTGTCGGCGGTCAGGGCGCGTGCGCTCCGTGCGCATCCGTCCGCGGCCCCACCGGCTGTGTCCCTGGACCTCACCTCTTCCCCCTGCAGTGGACGAGGAGTTTGAGACAGTCTCCACGCAGCTGTTGAAACGCACCCAGGCCATGCTGAATAAATACCGCCTCCTGCTCCTGGAGGAGTCCAGGGTAGGCCGCCGTCACCTCCTCCCTGGGGACCCCGCCCTGCCCCCCTGCCCCCTCTGGGCAGGGTGAAGCCTCCTGCTCCTTGGGAGGGAGGGAGGGAGGGAGGCTGGTGTCCGATCCCAGTCGGCTCCGGTCCATCCTGGCTGCTCGGGTCCCCTCGCCCTCCTCCCTTCTTCACTTGCCTATCTTCCCTCTCACCCCAGAGGGTCAGCCCCTCCGCGGAGATGGTCATGATCGACCGAATGTTCATTCAGGAGGAGAAGACCACCCTTGCCTTGGACAAACAGCTGGCCAAGGAGAAGCCGGGTGAGAGGGGAGGGGAGGAAGAGGGGTCCCCCACTCCTGCCGTGAGGCGCAGACGCATTGGATTTGGGGCGAGGGAGAGGGGTGCGTGGCCTTCCCTCACTCCACCGTCAGGTGGCGGCCGAGCCCCGCTCGCGCACGGTGGCCGGGCCTCCCCGGACCCCTGGGCTTGCGGACCAGAGAAAACGGGGTTCATCTCCCTCCATCGCTGTGGGTCCCTTTCGCCCCCTTGGTCCTGGCGTGGAGGGAACACTTGGTGCCCCCCGCTCCCCACCCAGGGGGATGGAACAGCGGAAAAGCGGGAGAGCAGAGCCAGGACTAGGGTGAAGCCCCCAAGGTGCCTGGGGTGCAAAATATAGGGTGGCGTCCACTCTGCGATGGCAACCCCCCTTGGCACGTTGGGGGGGCTTGGGAATTGCTGAGAAGGGTCATCCCGGACCGTGTGTCCTGAGGATCTGATGAGTCAAGGGCTTAGCCCGGCGGAGAGAAGGTGCCCCGGGGCCCCCTGCCCCTCACCTCTGCTCTGCGCGAGGCCTCATGCTTTTCCCCGCTCTGTTCGCAGACGAGTACGTGTCTTCCTCGCGCTCCCTCGGCCTCCCCATCGCCGCCTCTTCCGACGTCGGACACCGGCTCCCGGGCCACGGCCCCCCACCGTCCTCAGCATCCGGGGCCCCGGCCCCGCCCCCTCTGCACCTGCCCACCAAGCTGGTGATCCGGCACGGCGGCGCGGGCGGCTCCCCTTCGGTGACCTGGGCCCGCGCGTCCTCGTCCTCCCTGTCGTCCTCGTCGTCCTCGTCCTCCGCCGCCTCCTCCCTGGACGCTGACGAGGACGGCCCGATGCCCTCCCGCAATCGGCCGCCCATCAAGACCTACGAGGCCCGCAGCCGCATCGGCCTCAAGCTCAAGATCAAGCAGGAGGCCGGGCTCAGCAAGGTCGTGCACAACACGGCCCTGGACCCCGTGCACCAGCCGCCGCCGCCCGCCGCCCTCAAGGCGCCCGAGCCCCCGCCCCGGCCCCCGCCGCCGCCGCCACCACCGCCGCCGCCGCCGCCCCGCGCCCGGCCAGATGAACGGCACGGTGGACCACCCGCCGCCGCCCCCGCCGACCGCAAGCCTCCAGCCCCGGCCCCCCACTGCCCCCGCCTCCCGCTGCGCAAGACGTATCGCGAGAACGTGGAGGCGCTGGGTGGCGGCGGGGGGGGCCCCGACGGGGCGGGCGGTGGTCGCGCCCGGGCAGGCAGCCCCGCGCCCATGCCCACCAAGGTGGACGAGGCCACCAGCGGGCTCATCCGCGAGCTGGCGGCGGTGGAGGACGAGCTGTACCAGCGCATGATGAAGGGCGGCCCCCCGGAGCCCGCGGCCGGCGCCGGGCAGGGCAGTGGCAGCCGCGAGCCGGGCTGGGACGCGCCCCCGCTGCCCCCCGCCAAGCGGCGCAAGTCCGAGTCCCCCGACGTGGACCAGGCCAGCTTCTCCAGCGACAGCCCGCAGGACGACACGCTCACCGAGCACCTCCAGAGCGCCATCGACAGCATCCTCAACCTGCAGCAGGCCCCCGGCCGGACGACCGCGCCCCCGTACCCCCATGTCGCCCCCGCGGCCGGCACGCCCGCCTCCCCGGCCCCCCTGCACAGGCCGGAGACCTACCCGCCCTCCAGTCACAACGGCGGCCTGGGCGCCAGGACGTTGAACAGATAACACCGGGCCGGTCCTCCCTCCCCTGTCCCCTCGCGCTGCGGACGCCGGGGTGGGGGGCAGCGGGGCCTCCGACCTCAGCCTCCTGGGGGACGCAAGCCGGGGATCCCCTGAGTTTTTCTTGCCTAAGTTATTTGAGTCACAAAGGCCTCCTGCCCCGCCTCCTGCTTCAGCCTGGTTGTTGGGTGGGGGTCGTGGGTTTAGGGGAGGGGGCTGTCATGGAAAACGCCCCCCTGCCAAAGGAGGGGGTCATCCTGGTGTGTCCTTTCCTGTTGCTTCCTACTTCTTGCTGCACCGCCCCCTGCGTCCCGGGGACACGTGCGTGTGTGTGTGTGTGTGTGTGTTTGCCAGGGATGGGGGGGGCCCTGGTCGCTCCCACCACTCCCGCGTGTCGGGGGACCGGGCTTGTGTGTGTGTGTGTGTGGCTTTGCGGATCCGGGGGGTCAGGGGCGCTCAGAGCTGGGAGGGTCCCCGGGAAGCCGCGCTAGGCCTCTCCCCCGCCGCCCCCTATAGGTTGTCTGCAGAAGTGCAAGGGGTGGGCGGCGCGAGCCAGCGTCCCAGGACCCCCGCCTCGGCGCAGGCCCGAGGGCACCTGTCACGTCCGTGTGTGTGCGTCCGGCACCGCGTCCTGTGTCCCTGTGTGTGTGCTCGAGTGAGCAAGAGAGCGAGAAAGAGAGAGATTTGGCACCCTCCTGTCCCGCGGCCGAAATGCGAGCACCTCCCAAACGGGAAACCGGGGTCTTCCTCCCCCCGCGCCCCCTCCCCCAGCCAGTCTTCCCTCTGTTCTTCCTGCCGCCAGCCGCCCGCGCCAGATTTTGAAATCTCGGAGACAAAACTAGTACTGTAAGATAAATTTTTTTGTACTGTATTTATTGTGTATAACGATTTTTTTAAAGGAGAATTCTGTACATTTAGAACTCTTGTAAATTAAAAACCGATCCTTTTTTTAAAACTGTACTGACGCCCCCTCGCCCCCGTTCCTTTTGGGTCTTTGGGGATTTGTTTGGAGTCGGGGGTGGGGGGTGGGGGTAGTGAGGGCTTGTTGCACAGATATTTGTTGCGCACCTACTGGGTGCCAGCCCTGTTCTAGGCACACGGCTGCCGCGGAACAAGGCAGACAGAAGTCCCGGCCCTGGGCTGGGGCTGGGGGGAAGGCGGACTTGTTAGTGGAGGAGGCAGATAGTGAACGTCTCAACCAAACGTGGGCGATTCTTACCGTTCCTGGTAAGTTCTACAGTCTCCGCGAACACGGAGTTAGCGAATACTGAACCACCACTCCTTACCGTGAGCCTCTGCTCACGACATTTTTGTCAACCCATCAGTGCATCAGCTTGTTTTATGTGCGTTCCTGCTTAAACACACCTTATTTAATATATAGGGTTGGTTCTTTCACATTGAACTCACAGCCAACAGCGGTATATAACTTGGGTCTGAACGAAGATGAACTAAGGCAGTATTTTCTCCCTATGGCACGTCACAGCCTCCCTGCGCTTAGTAACATGAGATGCCGTTAAGCACTATGCCTGGGGCCCGTTTTAAACTGAAATCGATAACAAGAAGCACAACAATGTGAAAAACGTGGCCCTAAGTAGACCTGGGAAGGCTCCTTGCCTACAGTCTGAGAGCTGAAACAGTGTGGAGCGTCACCTTGTCCCACCTCAGCTGGAAACGTGCATGGTGGGTGACTCAAATTTTTGCGGCTCTGTGCAGGTCGATGAAAGCGCTGCACGTTTTGGCGTTACAGATACATTTTAGCAAGTAGATGAGTTCACAAATGCGGCCTCCGCGAATGAGGAGGATCCACGGTCCGTGTGTACAGCGTCAGATGGAGACATGTAGAAAAACCAAGCAGGGCGTGTTAGTTCCCTATGGCTGCGGTAACAAAGGGCCACAAGTTGGGGGCTTATAAGAACAGAAATTTAGGGGCCTGCCCGGTGGCATAGTGGATAAGTTCGCAGCTCTGTTTCAGATGCCTACGTTGGCCGGTTTGGATAAGCCCTGCTCATCAAGCCGTGCTGTGGTAGGCGTCCCACATAGAAAGTAGAGGAAGATTGGCATGGATGTTAGCTCAGGGCCAATCTTCCTCAAAAAAAAGAAAAGAAAAAGAAAAGAACAGAAATTTATTCTTTGACAGTTCTGGAGGCCAGAAGTCCCAAATCAAAGTGTGCCTGGGGGCTACGCTCCCTCGAGAGACCCTAGGGGAGGACACTTCTTGGCCTCTTCCATCTCTGGAGTCCCAGGTGTTCCTGGGCTTGTGGCCACATCACTCCGGTCTTCTGGCTATTTTCCTTTTGCCTTGGTGGGTCTTTTTCTCTTATAAGGATACCAGCCATGTTGGGTCATGGCCCACCCTACTCCAGTATGGCCTCGTCGTCACTTGCTTAGATCTGCAAAGACCCTATTTCTGAGTAAGATGCCATTCGCGGGTCCTGGGGGTTCGGACAACAGCATATCTCATGGGAGGACACAGCTCGATTCCCAGCGCAGGGTGAAGGAGTGGACAAGGCGGCTGCTTGTCCCCAGGACACCTCTATGCTAACTAGAAAACAGCCCCCCTTTCTCCTGGAGTTTGGGGAGCAGAGTGTGCGCTGGATTCCAGCCCAGCCCCTCTGACCCATTCCATGAGTGCTTTGTGCAGTGGACAACCTCCCCAACTGCACAATGAAGGCCCTCAGGACCAGGTGGGAAGGGAAGACTTCTTTGGGGAGGTGACATTTGAGCAGAGACACGCATGAAATGAGAAAGAGCCACAGGGAGATGGGAGGTGGAGGGGGATGGGTGGGAAGAGCACCCCAGGCAGAGAACAGCCAGTGCAAAGGCCCTGAGGAAGGAGCATGCCTGAGTATTGGGGAACAACAAGGAGGCCAGTATGATTGGAGCCCAGTGAGGGGGAGGGGGAGGCCGGAGGTGAGGTCGGAGGGGGAACAATGGGGGCCTAGCGTGTAGGACCGCGTGCTCCACGGTGATGACTTGGCTCTTACTCCGAGCGAGGCGGGGAGCTGGGAGCCGACTCAGGTCCCCCGGGCGCCCTCTGACGGCCACGCGGGGAACAGACAGGGCGAGGAGGCGACTGCCAGAGTCCAGGTGGGCGGTGGCCGCGGCGGGACCAGAGTGATGCGCCCGGTTGCCCTGTTTCTAAGGCCTTGGGGTGGGGGGCTGATTTATGGGGTCTCCAAGAGAGGGACTGCCCCCCGTCCCAGCTGGAGCCCTACTTCCCGCCCCGCCCCGCGCCCGCGCGAAATAAAGCCCCGAAGGAGGGAGGCCGTTCCTAACATCCTCGCAGCGCGGCGCGCTCCCGGAAGGCCCCACGTGGCCGCGCCCAAGTTCGCCGGGATGACCACCCGCCCGGGCCTCGCCCTGGAAGGCTGGCGGCAGGCGACCCGAGCAGAGGATCTCGACGGCCATCGTTTACGGATCCCTTCCCCCGGCTCGCTTCTTCCGTCCTCGCGGAGGCTCCCATCTCGCAGCTGAGGACCCCGAGGCGCAAAGGATGCAGCCAGGGGTCGGGTGGGCTGCAGGCCGGGCGGTCTGGCCGAGCCCACAGTCCTCTCCTCTGCTCATGCAGCTTCCGGGGAGCCTGGGGACGAGAGCCAGGCCTTTCCAAGCGGCCCCCACCCCGCCCTGGGCCCTGGGAGGAGACCCGGACTCAGCTCCTCTCCGATGAAGTTAGCGCTCTGGACCTAACTTCTTAGACACCCGCTCCAGGATGCTGCAAACAGCTCTGGGGGTGGGGGACGGTGGGGGGGGGGGTCCCCTTTTCTGCAGCTGAGCCGTCTGGAAAGGGAAGGAGGCCCAGATGGGTTACTCCACAGCCCAAGTGACCTGGGCGCAGAGCAGGATGGAAACCCAAGACTGACAGCTCCCAAGTCCGTCTGGTAACTACAGGCCTCGCTGGCAGCCTTCTCCATGTCTCTCTCTTTTTTCATTAGGGTAAAATATACATAACATGAAATTTACCATTTGCACCATTTTTAAGGGTACGGTTCGGGGCACGAACGCATTCACATTGCGCAGCTACGGCTGCATTGTCAGAACTTGTTTCAAGTTGCAGAACGGTGTCCCCAGTGAACACTGAGGCCCCAGCCCCCTCGGCAGGCCCAGCCGCCGCTGTGCTTTCTATCTGATGCATCTGACGACTCGGAGCGCCTCACAGGAGGGGGGTCACACAGTGTGTGTCCTTTCGTGCCAGGCTTGTTTCACTTGGCGTCGTGTCTCCAAGGTTTGTCCCTGCTGTCGGATATGCCAGGATCTCTCCATTCCGTTTTGGGACATGGGGAAGACGGGAGCTAGAAAAAGAAGAAAGGGAGCTTGTGCCCTGCAGAGGGGGCTCCGGAGGCCCAGGGGGCATCAGGGAGGTTGGACGACGTGGGGCACAGATCTGAGAGACCGCCTGGTTCAGAGAGCAGGGGGACAGCGAGGTGAGACCGCAGCCCCATCCTCAGGGGCTCAGAGCATGTTTAATGAGGCGGACACTGTCCGCGAGGGGCCCCTTCACCTCCCTGACCCCTTCCTTGATTAATGTCTTTAAATACATTAAAGAAAACCCACAAGGTTACAAGGGAACCAACTACACTGAAATAGAGTATTAAAAAACCACAAATCTGTGACGCGGTAACCTGAGCTGTATGAACGCACTGATTAGAAGGAGCCAGCGGGGGTCCAGTCAGTAACAAGTCAACCACCCCTGGAACTTTCTGGAACAACTGCAATGTGATGAAAACATGGGGGATTCCTCTCCGGGACAGTGACCCCGGTCCTGCCCGTGCTGCTGTGTTTCGTTGCTCACATTTGTGGGTGAAGGAAACCCTGAGTTTCAGGGAAAACTCCAGACGCCATTGCTTTTCCCGTCCAAGCTCACGGACCCTCGAGGAGACTGCGGGCTGGGAAGCCCTGGATGGAGGTGAGAGCCGGCTGACCGCTGGTCCTTCCACTCCGGGGGCCGCGGGGACTCGACTCCCCTGCGCCTCGACCTCCCCATCTGAGCAGCGGGACTCGACTCACAGCAGGAACAGGAATAGTAAGGATCCCGCCTCCTACGGGGACGGCGATGCTCCGGGTCAGGCTTGCAGAGCAGCGCGCCAAGCTCCAGGGCTCTCAGTGTATGTATGTTGTATGGGTTATATTACACACGCGTGAACTGCTGTATATGATATATGACCGTACATTATAATTAGGTATATTATATGTTACATACCACTTACACATGATATATGATTATATAATTATGGACATATATCATATACCACTTTACATATCATTATACGTTATAATTATGTATATTATATACCACTTTAATATACATTATATATGATCATATATTATAATTATGTATATTATATATCACCTTATATACATTATATGTGATTATATATTATAATTATGTATGTTATATATTATACATACCACTTTTTTTTTTTGAGGAAGATTAGCCCTGGGCTAACATCTGCTGCCAATCCTCCCCTTTTTGCTGAGGAAGACTGGCCCTGAGCTAACATCCGTGCCCATCTTCCTCTACTTTATATGTGGGACACCTACCACAGCATGGCGTGCCAAGCGGGGCCATGTCCACACCGGGATCCGAACCAGCAAACCCCGGGCTGCTGAAGTGGAACGTGCGCACTAAACCGCTGCGCCACCGGGCCAGCCCTATACATACCACTTTGTATATTACATATGATTATATATTATAATTATGTATATTATATATTATATATACACCATATACATATCAGCTTTATTGAGATATTTCACAGGCCACACCATCACCCGTTTCAAGGGGACAGAGCAGTGGCTTTAGCATATTTGCAGAGGTGCGCGGCCATCCCCAAGATCCGTTTTAGAGCGTCTCTTCAGCCGCATCCCCGACTTTGCTGCACGCAACCCGTCGGCCGTTTCCCGCGCGCCCCCTGGCGGCCCGGGGCGGTATACCCCGGCGGGGCCGGAGGAGCAGGAGCGAGGCGGCGCCGGCGGCGCCCGGAGCCAGCGGGGCCTTGCGAGCAAAGAGCCGAGGGGAGCCGTCCTGTGAAGCCAGACAGACGGGGAAACTGAGGCTCGGAGGGGCAGCGGCGCTTCCCCGGGGTTCTCCGGCGAGCAAGCAGCAGGGCTGGGAGTTGCCCCAAGGCCCCGTGTGCTGTGAGCCCCGGCCGGGAGGCGATCCCGGCCCCGGACCCAGATTGGAAAGCCGCTGTTTTCAGGCCCCTGCTGGGGGCCGGGGCGGGGCTGAATTCTGAACAACCTCTCTGGGTTCTCGGAATTCCCTGCCCCGGGACTCCGCTGCCTCGTCTGTAAAATGGGGACCCCCATCGCGGCTTCTCAGGCGTGTGCTGAGGATTCAGTGACGTAACACAGGGGAAGGGCTTGGAGCCGCGCCCGCACCCAGGAGGCGCTCGGTGAACCTTAGCGACCAATGCGACCCACAATTCCTGGGCCCCTGAGGTGCGTCAGGTGCTGTGCTGGGGGCGAGGGGGGCACAGCAGCAAACCACGCAGTCGGGAGCCCCTGCTCTCGTGGGGCTCGTGTTCCTGTGAGCGGACAGTCACTGGAACAGAGAAATGTGCCCTATGCGGAGCATTGATAAGAACAGTGGCCAAAAATAAAGCAGCGATGACGGGTAGACGGTGGGTGATGCCTCTAACAGGGAAATCAGGGAGGGCTTCTCTGAGGAGGCGACGTTTTCGGAGACACCTGAAGGAGGGGAAACAGCGAGCCATTAGGATTCCTAGGGGGAGAGCATTCCAGGCGGAGGGAACAGCAAGTGCAAAGGCCCTGAGGTTGGAGGGTGGTTGGCGTGTTTAAGGAACAGCAAGGAGGCCAGTGTGGCTGGAGCGGGCTGGGGACAGGGAGGGAGGCGAGGGCAGAGGGAACGGACAGATCGCGCGGGGCTGGTGAGGGCTTTGACCTTGACTTTGAGCGAGCGAGGAGCCAGGATGGGTTGTGAGCAGAGGAGTTTCACGAACTCGCTCAAGTTTTAAAATTATTATTAGCGCGGCTGCTGTTATTGTTATTATTATTATTGTTATTGTTATTCTCATGTTAGCAAGGGAGACACATCCGGGAGTGGCCCCATGCCCGAGGGGGAGGCGGAGTTTGAACCCAGGGACGGGGAGCCCGCGCTCTCACCGTCTCGGGACGGCGCCCTGGCACTCCCCACCAGGGGGCACCAGAGGCCGGGCGCCCGGTTTGGGGAGGTTGGGGGGGGGGCTCCTCGGCCCGCCCCCCCCACCCCGTTCCCTCCTCCCGGCTCCGGCCCCACCCGGCTCAGACGGCTCCGGACGGGACCGCGAGCACAGGCCGCTCCGGGCGCCTCGGATCCCGCGGGACCCCACCGCCCTGCCGCGCGCTCCGGCCGCCCGCGCGCCCCACCGGTGAGTGGCCCCCCGGCAGCAGCTGTCGCCCCCCCCGCGGAGCCCCGAGCCTGGCCCGGCTCCAGATTACTCCCCTGCGCGCCGCAGACCCTCCATACCCACCCCCGCGGGGTGTGATGGTCTCCCCTTGTCTCCCCAACTCCCCCCACCCCGGCCCCTTCCAGTCTGTCACAGTGTCCCCCACCCTCGTCCTCCCTCCAGGACCCTCCCAGTCTCTCGCGCTCCCCCATCCTCCCTGCCAGCGGAGATCCCCTCCTTGGGGGTGGTCTCCCGGACACCGCCCTCATCCATCTCTGCCCTGCTTGGCCCCTCCTCCCACCCAGGGGGGCCTCTCCCACCTCCCCGACCCCATCGCCTGTCCAGCCACGTCTGTGCAGCCACCCCAAGCGTCCTCCCCTGGAACCCTCCCTGCCTGGACACCGCCCAGGGCCAACATCTCCGTCCCAGCTGCTGCCTCTCCTTGCCTTCAGGGACTCCTTTCCCCCTCGGCTCCCTTTCCTTTCCTTTCCTCTCTTTCTTGGTATTACTTATCGTTATGATTTTATGGATTTTAGCATACTGATTTGCAGTGATTTCGGATGCTCAAATGGTCCCATCTTTGGCCAGGGGGCAGCCCCTTCGAGCCGGGTCCTGTGTCCCCATGACGCGCCCCATGCATTTTGAGCCCTTCCCCACTCTCCGGTCCAGCCTCGCTTGTCCTTTCCCTGCCCCAGCCCTGGAAGCAGCCATTTCTCCAGGAAGCCCCAGTTTCTTGCAGTGGAAAAGAGTATTTGCAGACTCCAAGCTGACCAAAAGCTGGTTCTGTGGAAAGATCAGTAAAATTATAAGCATTGAGTTAGACCGATGAAGGAAGGAAAAAAAAAAAAAAAGAGCAGACATAAGTGACTGATTTCAGGACTGAAAAAGGGGCCATCACTACAGATCCTATAGAGAAGGAAAGGAGAGGAAGGGGTGGTAGGGTTTGGGTGCGGGGGGTGCTCCTTGCTGCCGGGCTGGTCACTGTTTCTCTCCCTAACTCCTTAGACCCAGGAGCACAGGCTCTGAGGTCAGGTTGCCTGGCGTCCCATCGTAAGCACTTACTAGCTGAGTGATCTTGGGCAAGTCATTGCCATCTTCCTGAGTCTCGATTTCCTGGTCAGGAAAGTGCGGACGATAATAGTCCGACCTTCCAAGGTTGTCACAGAGATTAAATGAGTTAGAGCCAGGTCTGGCACGCAGTGGTCCCACATGTTGACTTATTGCTCTTGTGAATGCCCAAGGCCCCTCGTGTCTCGGGTGCCTCCCTTCCCACCCCTCTCCTCACGCCCCTGTGTCCAGCCACGCCATCCTCTCTGCCTCAGTGCCCTTGTCGTGCCCAGTCTTCAGGGGCCAGCTCGAAAGAAAGCCCAGCCAGAGCTTTGCGGATCCCGTGGCGGGTTCATCGTGTCCCCTTCTGGTGCCTACAGGTCCACTGCCTGGAGTTTCCCGGGCACCTCTGACTGCCTGGTACCCAGGTCCTCTCCTCACTGGGGGCTCAGAGTGGACAGGGCTGGTCCCTGGCCGGTTTTTGGGGCCCACAGCTCCTGACACATGGAGTGATTTTAGTGAAAAATGTGTGAAATGATGGAAAAGGGGAAAAAAGTGCAGGAACTGAGAAATCTATTTTTTCCAGGCAGCTTCCACCTCCTTCCCTTTGTCCATTCCCAGGTTTGCACCAGCAGTCCCGTTTCTTCGATCATTGCACCGTTAATCTCTTTCTCTTCCTCCAGCTGGAATAATGACCTTCTTCCTCCGTGAACAATCAGCGTCTGGTGTCCCCATCAGTGCTCTCTGCTCCTCCCCCTCTACCCATTCCACCATCCTCCACCCACGCCACCTCCCGGCTCCCTTCCGTCTCCTCCTCCTCCTCCATCAGGCAGTCCCCCATCAACACTCTGTCCCCCGTTTGCAGGCAGCTCCCCACTGTGTGCATCTTCCTCGGTGAGCCCAGTGGTCACGCGCCGCCACCATGTTCAGCTGGCTGAAGCGGGGCGGGGCGCGGGGCCAGCAGCCCGAGGCCATCCGCACGGTGACCTCGGCTCTCAAGGAGCTGTACCGCACCAAGCTGCTGCCTCTCGAGGAGCACTACCGCTTTGGGGCCTTCCACTCGCCGGCCCTGGAGGACGCCGACTTCGACGGCAAACCCATGGTGCTGGTGGCCGGCCAGTACAGCACGGGCAAGACCAGCTTCATCCAGTACCTGCTGGAGCAGGAGGTGCCCGGCTCCCGCGTGGGGCCCGAGCCCACCACCGACTGCTTCGTGGCTGTCATGCATGGCGACACCGAGGGCACCGTGCCGGGCAACGCCCTCGTTGTGGACCCGGACAAGCCCTTCCGAAAACTCAACCCCTTCGGGAACACCTTCCTCAACAGGTGTGCAGCCGAGAGCCCAAGGGCACATCTTCCTGTCCCTGGCCCCCATCTCTGGCCCTCTTTCTCTCCTTTTCAGCCCCTTTCTCTTCTCTCTGCCTGATGCTCCCCCTTCCTGCCTCTGCTCTCCTGCTGCCTTCTCTAGGGGAGCCGTCAAGCCGGTGGGACCAGCCTGCCTGGGTTCAACTCCTGTCTAGCTGGGTGGCCTTGAGCAAATGACTTAACCTCTCTGTGCCTTTCTTATTTTCATCTGGAAAATGGGGATAACCATAGTCCCCACTCCATAGCGTTGTTATGAGGACTAAATGAATACACATAAAGTGCTTAGAAGAGGACCGGGAGCAAAGTGAGTGTTCTGTGCAGGGCAGATCTAAGTTTTTATGGTTATCATTCTCTGTCGCCATCTTCCTTTTCTCTTGCAAGGTCCTTCCCTTCTGCGGACCTCCTTTGCCTCTCTGCAGTCCTGGTTTCCTTTCTGGTGTGTCCTCTCCTCCTGCCCCACCCTGCACTGACCCCTGACCTTCTTCCACCCCAGGTTCATGTGCGCCCACCTCCCCAATCAGGTCCTGGAGAGCATCAGTATCATTGACACCCCGGGCATCCTGTCAGGCGCTAAACAGAGAGTGAGCCGTGGTGAGTGTCCAAGGGAGGAGGAGCTGGGGCTGGACTCCCGGGTCTGAGGGAGGAGGGGCTGGGGCTGGACTCCCGGGTCTGAGGGAGGAGGGGCTGGGGCTGGACTCCTGGGTCTGAGGGAGGAGGGGCTGGGGCCAGGACTCCCGGTCTGAGGGAGGAGGGCTCAGGGTTTCCATAGGCCTTGGGCCCTGTCCTCGGCCCCGAGCTGGCCGGGCAGCAGGAGGGAGCTGGCGGGAGGCTGGGATTCCTCCACGCTGGGCCCTGGAGGGGGGGGGGGTGGTGGTGAACACGTGTGAGCCGGCCGCAGCTGCATGTCCGGGCGGGTGCAAGGATGCAGGAAGAAAGACCAAGAAAGACACAGAATCAGAGACACAGAGGGCCTGGGGGGCGAGGCCGCGCTCCGGAGGGACGGGAGCCCGAGGGCGGAGGCAGCGAGGCTGGGCCGTGGGAGCGCCTCTCCCCGGCTGGGCCACCGATGCGGCTGGGAGGGGGGCCTGGGCGCGCGCCAAGGCCGGGCCTGGAATTTATAAACAGCTGTGCAGGGGGAGCGGCGGGGGGCGGATTCCAGCGGGGCCTCCGGGGAGCCGGCCCCACCCCTGCCCCGCGGGCTGCGCATCTGCCCCCCCCCCCCCAGCCTCGTCCCCGCGTCTCTGGCCCCCGCCCCGCACGGCCTCCGGGAACCGGGGCAAAGGAGGCTGCCGAGTGGAGCAGAGTGGACCGGGAGGCAGGGCGAGGGCGCCGGGGGTTACGGTGTCCCTGGCCGCGGCCCAGCGGGCGCGCGTCCCCGTCCCCGGGGAGGCGGGAGGAGGCAGCGCAGAAGCGATGGGGGGGCGGGGAGATCCTGGGGGGCTGGGCCGGGACGGCGGAGGGGGTAGAGGCAGAGGAGGGATGTGTGGATTTGTGTGTGTGCGCGCGCGTGTGCCTCTGACTGTGGCTGGGTGTGACTCTGTGTGACTGTGGGATTGCGTGTGACCGACTGCGGGTCTGCATGTGGTTGTATTGTGAAATGGGTGCCCCAGGGAGCCTGGTGGAACTGTGTGCACAGCTCTGTGTGTGGGGCCGGCCTGGTGGCGCAGCAGTTAAGTCCGCACGTTCAGCTTTGGCGGCCTGGAGCTCTGTTGGTTCGGATCCCGGGTGTGGACATGGCATACTCAGCAAGCCACGCTGTGGCAGGCATCCCACATAGAAAGTAGAGGGAGATGGGCACGGATGTTAGCGCAGGGCCAGTCTTCCTCAGCAAAAAGAGGAGGATTGGCGGGAGATGTTAGCTGAGGGCTAATCTTCCTCAAAAAAAAAAAAAAAGTGTACCTTTTGTGGAACTGTGTGCCATTGTGTCTGTGTGGGTGCCTTCGGATCTAGACGGGTGTGAAGCTTGTGTGTGTGTGTGTGTGATGGTGGGTGTGCAAGCATGCTCTGCGCTTGTGTGTTCACGCTGGTGTCTGCTACTTTGTGCGGGTCTCGCCGTGTCCTTGTAATTGCATCACCACGACTGTCTGTGTAGCTCCCAGATTGTGAGCAAGAGCGTATCGAGGAGGGTGCATCCTGGAGCATGGGGCTATGATTGTGTCCAGGTGTGTGCTGCAGCCTGCATACCTGGGGGCGCGCACGCGTGTGTGCGTGTCCGCCTCTGCGTGGGAGATCTACAAAGACACGCGTGTGTGACGGCAGCAGAGTGAAGCCCGCTGGCGGGGTCAAATCTGGGCTCTGCCACGTTTAAACTGTGGGACCCTGGCAAGCCACTTGACCCCCCCCGTGCCTCAGTTTCCCCATCTGTAAAATGGGAATAAGAACGGTGTCGGCTTCCTGGGCTGCCCTGAGGGTTAAAATTGAGCGTCACAAGGGGCCAAGTACCCCGTCGCAGTGCGCGGCACCCAGGAGGCGCTGCAGATGCGCTCACATGACTGTGGGTCCTGCATGAGGGCCGCTGTGCCCGGCCCCTCCCCGCCACGTCTCCCATTCCCACGCTGACTCAGCCTGCGTCTCTCCTGCCCTGCCTGCGTGAGACACACTTTCCAGATCCCGGCCGGTGTGTGTGTTTGTGCAGACACTGGGCAGGGAGGGGGCCCCAGCTGCCGTCCCTCTGGTGACCGGTCCTTCCTCCCCCTGGACAGTGTCACCCACCCCCGCCCTGCCCAGTCTCCAGCGGCTGCGAGGAGCCGGCTTCCTTCTTGGCAGGATAGGCCGGGCAGCGGCTCCCCAGCTCCTGCTCCGTCGCCTCCTGCCTGTGTGTCTTGAGTCGATCCCTTCACCTCTCTGTGCCTCAGTTTCCTCTTTTGGAAAAGGAGGGTCATAAAAAGCGCCTGTCCCCTGGGATGGTTTTGGAGATGCAATGAGCTCAGTCAGGAAAAACATGAAGCGACAACAAAGGAATCAGCAGTGACTCTGTGTTCTGCCAGTGAACGCATCCCCCAGGTGGCCACTCTGCGTCCCCTCCTCCGGGAAGCCCTCCTTGGCCCCCAGCGTCCCCTCTGGGCTCCCCCATCTCAGCCCGGCCACTCTGGGGATGGGTCTGTGTCCCCTGTGGACTGCGAGCCCAGGAAGGACAGGACTGGGACTGCCTGAGCCACACGGTGTCCCCGGGACAGAGCAGGCAGCTGTGGATGGCCCCCGAAGGACTCCCCCTGCGGTGTCCGGCGGCCATCGTGACTCATGCTTGTCGAGCTCTCGCCGCTGCATTTTTTTTGTCTTCAACACTTTTATTGAGGTATAATTTATGTGCCTAAAGCTCGCCCATTTTAAGGGTACCGTTCCGTGCCAGGCCCTGTTGCAAGCTTTTGTTATCTATTCGCTCATTTATATTCTTTGAATCTTCACAATAGTCCTTTGAGGTAGGTCCTATTATGAAAGAAGAAACAGAGGTTCAGAGAGGTTCCCTACTTGCTTAAGGTCACACAGCAGATGGGGGCAGAGCGGGATTCAAACCTGGGTCTTCCTGACGGCCAAGTCGGGGGTCGCAACCACTCCCCTCTGCTCTCCCAAGCATCGCTTGTAGTTAAATGAAGGAGTGAAGGAGCCGTGGGGGTGCATGAATGAGGAAATGAGGCATGAAAGGGATGAATGAATGAACCCAGGGGCCAGGTTTTGGGACGGGTGCTCCACAAAGACGAGGACCTTGCCTCTGTGTGCCCTGTGGTGTCCCCAGTGCCCAGGACAGGGCCTGGGGCGATCTGACAGTTCCTGGGGAGGGGCTGGGGAGATGGAGGCGCTTGGGGAAAGGGGGGTCCAGAGAAGCACAGGGAGTCTGTTGGGAAACACTTCAGTGTTTTAACAACCTGTACATCGGGACCACTGCGGGCCACTAGTATCTGCCGAATGAATGAATGAAAATGGGGGTGGGGTTGGGGGGTGGTGATTGCCCCCTGTAGCCACATGTTTTGAGGGACTGGGGCCAGATTGATGGGGGAAATACTGGGGGCGTGGCCAGAGCAATGGGATACATTTGTGGCCTCAGTTATTTCACATAGACAAAGATTTGTGTAGTTAACAACCTGAACACCCGTACAGTCCTATATCGGTGCAAAGAAATGGATGCCTCCGCATGGTCGGAGCGTGGGGGACTGACCTCTGCCCCTGGTGGTCCGGTGTCCCCCCTCCTCCAGGCTACGACTTCCCGGCCGTGCTGCGGTGGTTCGCGGAGCGCGTGGACCTCATCATCCTGCTCTTTGACGCCCACAAGCTGGAGATCTCGGACGAGTTCTCGGAGGCCATCGGCGCGCTGCGCGGCCACGAGGACAAGATCCGCGTGGTGCTCAACAAGGCCGACATGGTGGAGACGCAGCAGCTGATGCGCGTCTACGGGGCGCTCATGTGGGCGCTGGGCAAGGTGGTGGGCACGCCCGAGGTGCTGCGCGTCTACATCGGCTCCTTCTGGTCCCAGCCCCTCCTCGTGCCCGACAACCGGCGCCTCTTCGAGCTGGAGGAGCAGGACCTCTTCCGCGACATCCAGGGTCTGCCGCGCCACGCCGCCCTGCGCAAGCTCAACGACCTGGTCAAGAGGGCGCGGCTGGTGCGGGTGAGCGGGGCTGGGGGCGGGCGAGCGGGGCTGGGGGCGGGCGAGCAGTGGGGGGATGGGCGAGCAGTGGAGGGGATGGGCGAGCAGTGATGGGGGGTGGGCGAGCTGTGGGGGGGATGAGTGTGAGCAGTGCGGGCATGGGCGAGCAGTGGGGGGATCAGGCGAGCAGTAAGCGGGCCACACCTCCCGCCTCTCCTCCACCCCTGCTCTCCTGGCCGCCAGCCGCCGCCTTATCAGCTCTCCGAGAGTTCGCTCTCCAAGCTAAGAGCCTCTCCAGGCTGGGTCGTTCTGGAGCCGCGTGGAGAGGGGGCCCCCACCGTGGCTTTCTGTCTCTCTCCCTGCCTCTGTTTCCACGTCTCCCTGTCTCTTCTCTGTCCTGTTCTTCCTTCCTTCACCTCCTACCACCCACCACATTGTGTCAGGTCCCGCCTCTGCTCACAACCTGCCCCGGGACTCCATCTCACTCAGCGAAAACCAAGTCCTTCTGGAGGTCCACAGTCGGCCCCTTCCACCCTCACCCTCAGACGGTCCCCATCTGTCACTCCCTTCCCATCATGCATTGCACATCACACTTGCCTCCTCCTTCCTACCTCAGGGCCTTTGCACTTGCTGTTTCGTTTTCCTGGAAACCTCCCCCTCCTCGCCCCCTTCCCACCTGGCTATCCACATGGCTTGCTTGTTGCCTCCTTCAGGTCTTTACTCCACTGTCACCTTTCAGAAAAGCTTCCTTGCCCTCCCTTTGTCTAAATATAACTCCCCATGTGAGTCCTCCTTCATCCTGTGTAGTTTTCTCCATGGCGGTCATTACCGCCTGGCCTTATGTCACCCGTTCATTGGGTTTCTGTGTTCACTGCCTGTCTCCCTGGAGTTTAAGCTCCGCAGAATCAGGGATCCTTGAATTTGTTCACCACTGTGTCCCCAGCGCCTGGCACAGACTCGGTGCTCAGTAAATATTTATCGAATGAATGACATGGAACAAACACTCGCATTCAACAAAATCTCTGTGCCTGGCTCTGTGCCGCGTGTCCTGGGGACACAGCAGTGACCAGGGCAGCCCAGGGGAGGGGAGAGACGCATCCCCACACAGTGACAACCCAGCACGGGCAGGGCTGGGACTGGGAGCCCAGGGGGAATCAGGGAGGGCTTCCTGGAGGAGAAGGCATCTGGGCTGCCAACTGGAGGATGCGCCGGAGAGGAAGGGAATGGATTCTAGACAGCGGGACCAGCCAGTTTGTGGACTGGAGATGAGAACCTGGCCAGTTCAAGGAAGAGGACAGACGTCAGTGTCGAACCCAGTGTAGACAGTGCAAGTAACTGACTCTTGAGGCTGGGGAGGTGGGTGGGAGTCAGACTTCCCGGGGCTGTGGCCAGGAACCTGTGCTTCATCCTGAGGGCACTGGGGAGCCATGCCAGGGTTCAGAGCAGGGGAGGGACAGGGTCAGACTCTGGCTGCCTCTGGAGGGTGGATTCAAGGGCGGTGAGTGACTGGGGCCGGAGACCAGGGAGGACGCTGGGGACCGAGGAACAAGGAGGAGCCTGGATCAGGACGGGGCCTTGGGGAGCGGGAGGAGAGCACTGGGTTAAGAGCCATTTTGGAGGCCAAATGGAACATTGGTGGGGGAAGCTGCCAGGGTGGAGGTGGGGCAGGAAGCCCGGCAGGCGGCGAGGCGCAGAGGGCCACAGGGGGTGGGGGAGCCTGAGGTGTTGGTTTAAGGAGCAGCGAGAGGGGGTGAGTCAGAGCCCCCACTCCCACCCCAGGAATCCTCCCTGGGAGGGAGCGGCCCAGGACGGCCTGCTCCTGAAGGCTGGGCATCGGCCGCTCTCCCGCTCTGCCCGGCTCGGCACTGTCTGTCTGTCTCCTCATTTCCACCTTTTTCTTGTTCTCTATTTATTTCTCTTTCCGTCTCTCCTTTCCTCATTCTCTCTCTCACGCTCTCTCTCTGTCTCTTTTCATCTCTCTCTGTGTCTGTCTCTCTCTGTCTCTCCCCATCTCTCTCTCTCTCTCCCTCTGTCTCTCTCCATCTCTCCCTGTCTCTCTCTGTCTCTCTCTGTCTCTCCCTCTGTCTCTCTCCATCTCTCCCTCCATCTCTCCATCCCTCTCTCCCTCTCCATCTCTCCCTGTCTCTCCCTCTGTCTCTCTCCATCTCTCCCTGTCTCTCCCTCTGTCTCTCTCCATCTCTCCCTGTCTCTCCCTTTCTCTGTCTCTCCCTCTGTCTTCCCGTCTCTCTCAGTCTCCCCCCGGCTCGCGCTCGTCCCCCACGGTCCCCTGTCCCCCAGGTCCTCCCCAGCTCTCTACCCCGAAGGCGGCGGCGGGGGCTGGAGCCCAGGCCGCAGGCGCGAGGGGCGGGGTCGGCCCGGACACCTGGTGCCCCCGCCGGGTGGGGGGCGGCTCCGGAAACGCGGACACACCCCGGAGCCCCGGCCCCCGCGCCCCGGCCGGCCCGCCCTCCCACCTTATCTCTTCCTGGCACCTTCCCCCGCTTCCTCTCTGGAAAAGCCATCAGCGCCCTCCCGCCTCCCACCTTCTGGTACCCGGGGAGCCGCCAGGCCCCGCCCCCTCGCCTCATTGGTCCGCTCCCGCAGGCCCCGCCCACCCGCCTGGCCACGCCCCCGCCCCATGGCCCCTCGGACCCACAGACCCCCCCTCCGTCCCCTCCTTCGGGCAGATCCCTTCTTGGCTCCCCGGTGCCCTCAGGACACGGGGTGCGCTGTGACCAGGCCACACCGCCCCCACCCTGCCCCGCGTCCCTCCCTCATCCGCCACACTTGGTCCAACCATCAAACAACAGCCACACCCTTTCCGTCCCCCGCTCCCCCCTGCCCCGTGCTCTCCCATCACCATACAAGGCCTTTCTGGACTCTTGGTGACCGCCCCTCTGTGCCTCAGTTTCCCCATCTGTGCGACGTAGGGTGTGGAAGAGGCCTCTGGCTCTGCCCTTTGGTTGAAATGATAGCTGCTAGAAGGGGCGATTTCGCTGTGCTCGGATGCTTGAGGCCAAGGTCTCGCCGGGGTCTGATTCTAAAGTGGCCAGGATGCCCTGAACCTTCATACCGAGCTTCTCTGACGTGGCTTGGTGACAGTCAGCCAACAGCTCCTGAGCGCCTACAGCGTGCTCCCGCCCTGTTCTAGGCCCTGGGGATACAGCAAGGGACAAACCAGATAACGGTTTTTTCTTGTGGAATTACTTGTTAATGGAAAAGGAGAGGTTAAACAAATTAATCTATAATAGTATATTGTATGTGATCAGCATTATGAAGAAAAATGAAGCAGAAGAGAGACTGGGGAGGGACTATGTTAGGGACATCAGGGAGGGCCTCCCAGAGGAGGCAATATTTGAGCAGAGACCTGAAGGAGAGGAAGGTCTGAGGTGTGGAGATCTGGGGGAAGACCATACCAAGCAGAGGGAACAGCACGTGCAAAGGCCCTGAGGCAGGAAGAGGCCTGATGTGTTTGAACAAGGAGCCCAGGGTGGCTGGAGGATGCAGGATGGTGGAGGGTGGGAGGATTCAGAACTGGCAGGGGACCGCCAAAATTTTTAGCATTCTAAACTTATGATTCACTAAACAAGTGTTTTTAACTGAACGTTTAAGACCGTCTCATGGCAAAGCATTCATGCTCTATCGCACGTGCTCCGGCCCTCCTGTGACCCGACCAGCTCTCAGGTTCTCTTCCCTCGAGGCCTCCCCCAGGAGTGGTTTCTTGTGTTTTTTTCCCCAGATTTATTCTATTTTTATTAAAGCATATACATTTCAGTATTGAGTTTCTTGTTTAAAAATAGGATGTACAAATGCTCGTTATTCTGCCCTGTTTGTTTGTTTTTTGATGACTTGTGAGATTGTGGCTCAAAGGCTCCCAAGCTCATTGGTTTATTCTGCAAATACTTCTTGAGCGCTGTCTGGGCACGTCGTGCGGGCGCTGGGGACAGAGGGGAAAGATCCAGCCCCAGCTCTCGTGCAGCTCACTTTCCGGTGGAAGGACACAGAATGGGGAAGGCAAGAGATAGAGGAGATAACGATGGATGGTGATAAATGTTGTGAACGAAACAATAAAAGTAAAGAAAGAAAGTAAGCGGATGGTGGGGGCGGGGGGCGCCTGCTTCCCATGGGCCAGCCTCTGTGAGGAGGCGGCACCAGGAGGAAGCTGAGGGAGCCTGCGGTGGGGAGCCCAGGGCAGGGCTCCAGGCAGCGAGGGGTTGTGCAAAGGCCCTGAGGTGAGAAGGAGGTTGGCATACTGGTAAAACAAGGAAGGGAGGTGAAGAGGCCGAAGGGGAGATAAGGTCAAACGAAGCAGTAGGAGCCGAGTCAGGTGCTTCTCAAACCATTCAGTCTTGGGACCTCGTCACACTCTTCCAAATTATGGAGGACCCTAAAGGGTTTGTGTGTACACGGATGACATCTGCCGATGGTGACCATGTTAGGACTTATAACTGAGAAAATGTTTAATATTTATCTCATAATATTAATTAGCCCACAACAAATATAGAATTATTTAGTAGCTGTTTGTGATAAATGTTATCAATGAGTTATTGATAACTTCTATTAATTAACAAATATGGATAATAATGAATATTAAAAGATCATTTAAAATAATAAACCTATTACATGTTAACCTAAGTCACAGATGTTTTATCAAAATTAACTATTTTCCAAACAATGAACAAATTAGGGGGGCCAGCCCCGTGGCCTAGGGGTTAAGTTCAATGTGCTCCGCTTTGGTGGCCTGGATTTGGATCCTGGGCATCGACCTCCACCACTCGTTGGCAGCCATACTGTGGCAGTGACCCACATACAAAATAGAGGAAGACTGGCACAAATGGCAGCTCAGGGCAAATATTTGTCAGCAAAAAAAAAAAAAAATTAGGGAGGATAGTGGCCCTGTTTTGCTTTTTTTTTTTTTGTTAAGGAAGATTCACCATGAGCTAATACTACTGTGCCAATCTTCCTCTATTTTTTTTTTTTTTTTAGTATGTGGGCCACCAGCACAGCATGGCCGCTAACAGAGCAGTATAGGTCCACGCCCCAGAACTGAACCAGGCCACCAAAGCAGAGCGTGCTGAACTTAACCACTAGGCCACTGGGGCTGGCCCCCCCCGTTTTCCATTTTTGCAAATCTCTTCGATGTCTGGCTTCCGAGGATCCTCATATCTGCTCCTTCATTCAGTGGGTTGCTGTATCACGTGTCTTGTGGCCTTTGAAAACTCCACCGTCTGCTCTGGAGGAAATGAGAGTAAAAAAGCCAGACAGCGCCTCATCATTATGATTAAAATGGTTCTGACTGTGCGCGTGTCTGAACCCCTCCGGGGTTCCCCGGACCACACTTTGAGAATTGCTGGGGGGCCTCGCGGGCTGTGGCGGGAGTTTTGAACTTGAAAAGAGGCAATTTGAGACTTTGGACCAGCGTCTCGTGGTGTCTGGTGTTTGTTCCTAGAAACAAAGAAAAGGGCAAGAGGGGAAGCCAGGAGGCCAGTGGGGTGACGGGTGTGTCCCCCGGCCCTGAGGCAAGAGAGGGTGAGGGCTGGGACAGGGATGGCCACGGAGATGCAGTGAAATGAAAAACGTCGGGGAGACACCTGGGAGGCAGAAAGCAAAGGAGTCTCGGATGGACAGGATGTGGCTGCCGAGGAGAAAGGGGGATCCGTCCAGGAATGACTTCTGGCCTTCCGGCCTCTCCTGGGGGGCAGGGGGTGCCATTTGCTTGCGGCGATGGGCACAGCTGGGGGACGTGGCGGGGGGCCAGGCCCAGAGTCCACCGAGGGCGTCAGAAGAGCTGTCTAGGGGTGCTGATGGGGCGGGGGGCTCAGCAGCTTGAGCTCCGGGAGCCGCCTGGGCTGGTCTGTAGATGTGGAAGCGGCTGGCGTGCAGGGGTGTTCGAGCCCCAGGAGGGGCCGAGGTTGCCCTTCCACCCACGGCAGCAGCGGCAGGAGCAGCTCACCTGTGACTCTTAGAAATGCAGACTCTCAGGCCCCAGCCTGGACCTCTGGGTGGGGAACCACCGGCACCCTGTGTTTTCAGTGAGCTCCCCCCGACCCCGGGGGATGGTGACATGGGCTCAGGCCAGGACTCCCCTCCCGCAGGTGCACACCTATATCATCAGCTACCTGAAGAAGGAGATGCCCTCCGTGTTTGGGAAGGAGAACAAGAAGAAGCAGCTGATTCTCAAGCTGCCTGTCATCTTTGCCAAGATTCAGCTGGAACATCACATATCCCCCGGCGACTTTCCTGACTGCCAGAAGATGCAGGTGGGAGGCCTCCCAGAGGAGAGGGGGGAGGTGGGGGACGGGAAAGTCGGCTTCTGTGGGCTTGGGATGGGGCCTCCAAAACTGCAGAGATGGATGGCAGGTTCCGGAAAGCACCTCCTGCGAATAGTTCCGTGGAAGTTTAGTTTTGTGAGTTAGGATGAGGGAGTGAAGAGAAAGCCCCAAATAACTGTGGCTTAGTTAACAGAGAGATTCATTTCTCTCCTTTGTGAAGTCCCGGAAGGTGGCCCAGGGCTGGTTTGATGCTCTGCAGAGCCAGGGACCCTTCTGTCTTATTTCGCCTCCAGTCCCAAGACCCCCCTCATGGTACAGAATGGCTGTGGGAGCTCCAGCCATTGTGTCTGCATTCCAGCCAGGAAGAGGGGCAGGGGAGAGGGGCGGGGAAGCTGATGGGACGGTCTCTCTAAAGGCACTTTCTAGAACAGTGCTGCCCGATAGTCCTTTCTACAATGATGAAAATGCCCTGTGTTGTGCTGTCCAATATGGAAGCCCTCTAGCCACATTAAAACTGAAATTTTAAAACTAATTGACGTTTAAATACCCACCTGTGGCAACTGTCTTGAACGGGATGGTTCTGGAGTTGCACCAGCAACTTGTGCTGACATCCGATTGGCCAGAACTCAGTCTCATGGCCACGGGAGTTGCACCTGCAACTTGTGCTGACATCCGATTGGCCAGAACTTAGTCACATGGTATGGCTGGCTGCAAGGGAAGCTGGGAAATGTAGTCTTCCCTCTAGGCGGCCAGATGCTCAGGTAATGGTCAGGGTTTGCAGAGCTGAAGAAGGAACAGACAGATATCGGGGGACCCCTGGGGGGCTCCTCGAAGGTCCAGGCCTCGGATTAACCAGTGGCGGGGAACGCACTGGGTCTGGGGGTGGTGGCAAAGGACAAATGAAGACCTGCTGGAGGAGGGCAGGGCAGGAGTGACCGAATGACCGTGGGGACAGGTCCAGGCTCAGGTGTGGAGGTGGGACGGGCCCCCGGCCCCCGCGGAGCCTCTGCTCTGAGATTGCATTAGGCTGGCACTCAAAGCCGGTGGCCTTCGGGTCTGAGATGTCTCCAGCCCAGGAATTATAGGGTGAATTTCCCCTTGGCGTCTACGAGCCCCATGATCCTGGGCCGGTCCCCTGACTTTTCTGAGCCTCAGTTTCTTCAGCTGGAAATGGGCATCTTGAGAGTCCCTGCTGCCAGCATTTGCAAGCCTGGGGCCTGGCACCGCGTCTGGTCTAGATCAAGGTCTCAGCATGACTGACATTTGGGGCCAGATCCTTCATCGTGGGGGGCTATCCTATGTCCCGCGGGATGTTTGGCGGCATCCCTGGCCTCTACCCCCTCGATGCCAGTAGCACCCCCCAGTTGCGACAATTCAGAAATGTCTCTAGAGCTCGCCACCCGTCTGCCGGGGGTGCAGCATCACGCCTGGTGGAGAACCGCTGGGCTGGATAAATGGCAGCTGTTGACATCACGTGGACGCTCCTTGAGCACTTGATCCGGATGAATTCATTTAGCCCTTCCCACCCCCTCAAGTCGGGGGAGTGCTCATGCTATCGACCCATTTCATAAGCAAATGTGGAAACAGGCCCAGAGAGGTGAAGTCACTTCCCCGAGGACACACAGCTCCTACGTGGCAGAACTGGGTCAGAACCCCAGCAGCCTGGCCCTGGAGTCCTCCGGCTCTTCACCATCACGCCCCTGCCCCTATCTGTCCCCATCAGCGGACCCCTCCGCCTCGGCTCTGGAATTTAATGGGGTGCCACGAAATGGGTCGGTCTTTGCTGCAACTCTCCCGGTGCAGGTGACTCAGAGCTGCCCGTGCGAGATGCAGCGAGACCACAAACCCGGCCCCACAGCTGCTCTAGCACAAGACGACTTCTTGGGGTGGGGTGGATCCCAGGGTCTCCTAACGGTCTGGCCATCCCAAACCTAAGCTGCACATTTGGCAGCCGGCCCCTTAGCTGTTTCTGTGTGGTGGGGTGACAGAGCTAACGCCACAGCAGGAACTAAAATTTCTCTAAGTTGCATAATAGTCGGGGTGCTGGCTGGGCGGCTGGGGTGCCTTAGAGGACGGGCAGGGCTGAGGGTCGCCGGGTGTGCTCTGGTAAAGCTGTGGCTGATGTCAAAATACTGAAATCCATGGGGCTGGCCGGGTGGCCTAGTGGTTAAGTTTGTGCACTCCACTTTGGTGGCCCAGGGTTCACAGGTTTGGATCCTGGGTGTGGACCTACTGCACTCATCAGCCATGCTGTGGTGGCGTCCTACATACAAAATAGAGGAAGATGGGCACAGCTGTTAGTTAGCTCAGGGCCAATCTTCCTCAGCAAAAAAAAAAAAAAAAAAAAAAATCAAAATCACTGAAATCCTTTCAGCTGGGAAACAACTGTGGCTCTGAGTCATCAGAGGGCCCCTGACCTCACCACCGTCGTGTGATTCTGGGGGCACGCCCAGCCTGGTGGGAGGGCCGCAGGACCCTATTGCCCAAGTCCGTTCTGAGTGGTGGGTGCCCAAGCAGAATGGGTCGTGCATATATTCAAATACTTCCACCCCCTCGGGAAAGAGCTGCCACCAGAGCTGGCCAAGTGTCCCCGGGGGTGCCAGGGGGCCGTAGGGCCTCAGGGACGGTGCCCCCTGACCTCTGGGTGCCCCCGTCTCCTGCCTGCCCCCGTAGGAGCTGCTGATGGCTCACGACTTCACCAAGTTCCACTCGCTGAAGCCGAAGCTGCTGGAGGCGCTGGACGAGATGCTGACTCACGACATTGCCAAGCTGATGCCCCTGCTGCGGCAGGAGGAGCTGGAGAGCACCGAGGCGGGCGTGCAGGGCGGCGCGTTCGAGGGCACCCACATGGGCCCGTTCGTGGAGCGGGGGCCCGACGAGGCCCTGGAGGATGGCGAAGAGGGCTCGGACGACGAGGCCGAGTGGGTGGTGACCAAGGACAAGTCCAAATACGACGAGATCTTCTACAACCTGGCGCCGGCCGACGGCAAGCTGAGCGGCACCAAGGCCAAGACCTGGATGGTGGGGACCAAGCTCCCCAACTCGGTGCTCGGGCGCATCTGGAAGCTGAGCGACGTTGACCGGGACGGCATGCTGGACGACGAGGAGTTCGCCCTGGCCAGCCACCTCATCGAGGCCAAGCTGGAGGGCCACGGGCTGCCCACCAACCTGCCCCGCCGCCTCGTGCCCCCCTCCAAACGCCGCCACAAGGGCTCGGCCGAGTGAGCCGGCCCCTGCCCGCCGGCCCTCTCTCCTCGCCCTGCTGTGGCTCCCCAGCGCCGGTCTGCTGCACGCACACCCCACCCCGGCCCACATGCACCCTCCCTGCCCTCCTTCCTAGCTGTGGGGACCGGGGTCTCTCCGCCCCCCACTGCCTGACAGTGGGGACCAGTGGAGGGGCCAGGCTTCTCTGCCCGCCAGTCACACCTCTACCCGCACCGACGCTTAGGCACGTCACACCGACACTAACACCCACACACCGAGGCAGCCATTCAAGTATTTATTGAGCACTGACTGTGTTCCGATGTCCGGGGGTTCATTCTGGGCACTGGGATTACAGCAGAGAGCAAGAGAGACACCGACGTCTGCCCTCATGAGCTGACATCCTCAGGACAGAACAGCCACACAGCCACACAGACACACACACACACACACTGGGCCCTAACCAGTCTGCTCCCCGATTCTGGGCAGGACCCCTCGCCTGTCCCCATAAGTGAGCGGCCACTGGGCTGACATGACTGACAGGCAGGCCCCCTTGTCCCACCCCATCACCCCACCCCCATCACATCCTCAGGTCTCGGGACCACCAGGGGCTCAGAGGGGAGACACAACTTGCTACTTCCGCACAGGGACCCCCCCCCCACCCATGGGACCCTCCCCCTAGCTCTGGCCACACCCCTTTCTTTGATAAGGATCCTTCGCAGACGGAACAGCCCCTTCGCTCCTGGCTCCTCCCGCACGGTGCCCACGCGGAGGTCTTTCTGTCCTCGCCCCACTGCCCGGGATTGCGAGCCCGGCCTGCCCCCCGCCCCCCGGCTGGTGGTCTGAGTTTTACACGGCTGCACACGGCCTCTGCCCGCCGTCCGGCCCCATCGCAGCGGAGCCCGTCCCGGATTCAGAGGCCCCCGGGGCTTCATTTCAGTGTCCTTTTCAGGGCTGTCGTGGCGGGGGGAGGAGGGTCTCTTGGTGCTACAGCCCCACCCCCACCCGCCAGGGACCTCTCACCCCCGCCCCGCCCCCCACTCTCTCCTGCCTTCCCCACACGTGAGTGCTTGACCCTGGTGGAGCACCCCATGAGAAAGATGGGGAGGAGGGCAGGAGGTGCGGAACGACTCCCCCTCCAGGGTGCTCACCGGGGTTCCCACGCTCGCCGTCCCCCCCCCCCCGCCCCCCATGCCAGGGTGGGGGACCCCGTGAAAAGCAGAGCGTCCCCACGGAGCGAATAAAGGCCAAGGCTGCTTTCTTGGTGGGAGTCGGCTGTCTCGGGCTGGGCTGTGGGGGATGGGATCGCTGCCCCCCCTGGGGCCGGAGAATCCTGGCCAGGACTTCAGTGTCGGGGTGGGGGGGGTCCCCTCCCAGCTCCCAGGGGCGGGGGTGGAGGCCGTGACTCAGTGCAGCGGGGCCCGATGACTCAAGCCTGGGCTGGGGGCCAGACCGACATATTTTCCGAAGAGGAGTGACTCCGGGGCCCCCCCTCCGGGACATCCCTCCCTCGCGCCGCCCGCCGCGGGGGCCTGGGAACCAAGCCCTGGGGGCGCGCGGGGTCGTGCGCGCGCCCTCCTGCGCCCACCCAGCCGGGCACCCCAAGCGGAGACGCTCCCCCGGGGCCGACTCCCGGGGAGGCGGGGACGGGCGCCGAGGACCAGCCCGTGTGCGCACGCGCGCGCCCGCCGCCCCGCGCCCAGCCCCACACCCCCGGCGCCTCCCGGCCCGCGGCTCCCGGCGCCTCCTGGCGGCCACTCGGGGACCCCGGCCGCTGGTCGCCGAGTCCCCGGTCCCAGGTGTTCGGTGCCCGGGTCTCCAGGGCGTCAGTTTCCGATGCTCTGCGCGAGGTGCGCTGTGGGACCCCCCGCGGGGCGCCTTCCCTCTCTGTGCCTTTCCCCTTTCTGAGCGGAGCACGTCATTTATGAGGCCCTGGGTCCCCGCGGATGGGTCCCCGGGCTGCTGGCTCGGAGTTTCCATCCTTATTTGTAAACGGGGACCACCGAGTCGATGGGGGGCGAAGACAACAGCGAAGCGTTGGATGCCAAGCGCCGTCTGAAGCGCTTAACGTCCATCCCCTCGTTGAACCTTCTCAATCATCTACGAGGCGGGGGTACCCCATCCCCATTGACAGAGGAGGAAACTGAGGCACAGCCAAGGAGCTCGCCCGAGACGCGCCCTGCCACGCCTGCGCTTCCAGGGTCCTAACCAGTGCGGGTTCCTAACACCCTCGCACGTCACGTTCTGTGCTTCCACCCTCGACGTCCCCAAAGCCCTCGGATTTCCCAGATCCTGGGATCGGGGACACGGCGGGGCTCCCAACGTCGTGAGATGGGAACGCGCTTCGTGCCGAATCTGCCACTGACGGCTCAGGCTGCCTTTTTTTTTAGGAAACCTGGATTCAAAAATAATCATGAGCAGGAGGCGCGTGTGCATGGTGACGGAGGTCAGCCTGACTTCGGTGGTGAACGCGATGCAGCCCAAACCGAGGTCAAAATAGGATGCTGTACACGTGGAATTTATGCAACGTTATAAGCCAATGGACCGCGATAAAAAAAAATAGGCAAATAATAAATAAATAATAATGTTCAGATTAAACAAATATTCCTGGGCGGCCGGGAATTGCTTTGCCGAAAACCTGCAACCCGCGGCCGCCACGAATCTGCAACGGAGGGAGGCGCCATTTACCCTCTATCAGGATGGCCACCTCCCCGCCCTTTACCAAGATGGCGGTCACCGGAAATACGTCACGGGAAGGGGCGGGAGATGTGCGCGCGCATGCCCCGAAACGGCTTCCGGGACGCCTGCGGCCGGATTTCTTCCTTTAACAAGATGGCGGCAGGAAGCAGCGGCGGTAGCGGGAGGCGCGCCTCGAAAAGCGAGGCCGATTCGGGCTTCTTGGGGCTGCGGCCCACGTCGGTGGACCCGGCGCTGAGGCGGCGGCGGCGAGGCCCCCAAAATAAGAAGCGGGGCTGGCGGAGGCTCGCTCAGGAGCCGCTGGGGCTAGAGGTGGACCAGTTCCTGGAGGACGTGCGGCTGCAGGAGCGCACGAGCGGGTGCGTGGGGCGGGACTTCCGGCGGCTGGGCCGCGTTCTGTGCGGCCAGCGGCGGGGCCGAGCGTGCTGAGGGAGGACTTCCGGGAGGCTGGGAGCATCTCTTACCGGGCACGCGGGGAGCAGCCGGGAGGATGCGTTGGGGGCTCTGGGTGGGAGGCTGGGGGCTTGGTGGGGTCTCCAGATCCAAGATGTTTGGATAAGTTAGAATTCAATTAAACAACGAATGTGTTCAGTATCAGTCCGTTCCATGCACGCCCTCTAGCTTAGTGCGTTTTCAGTCCCGTAGACTGGAGGGAGGGGCCTTAGCCTGCAGGAGACCATGGCGGGAAGAGGGTGCTCGAATGAGCATCAGATGAAAGCCGGCTCTGAAAGCTTAACCCGCCCTTCCCAACATCCCTGGCTGACGTTCTTCATCTCCGTATCCCAGTGGCTTGGTATCAGAGGCCCCGGATGAAGAACTCTTCTTCGTGGACACCGGTCCCAAGAGAAAAGGTGAGGCAGGGCCTTTGGCGGGAGGGCGCCTGGCGGTGATCGGTCCTTATCTAGCTTTCCTCAGTCTCTGAGGGGATCTGTGTTAATGGCACGGCTTGAGTAGCGAACATTTGCTAAAAAGGGTCTTTGAACAAGAGGACCGGGAAGGAACAGAAAGCAAGCTGGAGACTAACTGAAAGACGTCACATTTCCTTTTGAGGTGTCAGAGATCTGGATGCACAGAAAAGCCAGCAGTAGTCTACCTTGATGAGTAGGTTAGACATAAATTAGAGAGTTTCCCGGTAATTTGCAGAAAAGCAAGTCAAGGACCCGCTGTGAGGAGTCAGGTGTGTGTTTCACGAGTAGGTGAAACTCGTCTTTGTCTCTTTGTCTTAATTTGCCGAGATGCAGGGTTGGCACCTGAAACGAACAGAGGAGGAGTGAGTGAGGGAGGGCTTTAGTGAGTAATAGGGCTTCCGTCAACGTAGGAAAAACAGACTAAGAGGAGGCGATTTGCTGGGACAGGAAGGCAAGCTGAGGGGTCCGCTTTGATCTCAAGACGGCAGGACACCCTTCCTGAGCAAGTGTGTCGTCTTTCAAGGGGTCTGTTGTAATCAAAACAGGAGGACCCGTTTCAGTGAGCAGAAGAAGTAGAAAGGACCCGCTTTGAGGTGTAGGAGACTGAGGGAGCGGGTAAGACAGGGTTCTTGAGGAAGGTGGTTTTCACAGAAGCGAGTGGATCTGGGGTGGGAACAGAAGGGTGAGTCGGGGACCCGCCCTGAACAGGTGAGGATGCCGTGGAGGCCGGCTCTGGCTGGGAGGAAGTCTCTTTGGGGCAGGAGAGGCAGTTTATAGGTCCTACTTAAGTAAAGAAAGCAGAGTAGAAAAATCGTCGTGATTGTGCCATTTTACGGCTCATCACTGTGCTTTGCGTTCTTGGAAGACGTACGTCTGTCTGCACAACCTCATGAGAGAGGCATTAACCTTTTTATCTTGGAAGCACGGAGGGGCGAAGTCACTTTCTCGAGGCCCCGCAGTAAACGCAGGGATGTCGCTTCTGTCCCGGTGCGTCTTGTCCTAGAGCGCCTTTTGCTGTTTTGCTTTAGGAGTAACAGGCAGCAAACCCCCTTGTGCTGAGACTCGGTCGTCCTGGGCCCCGAGTCCGGCTCCCTGGCCTCCCGCTTGCTTGTTGGCGTTACTGGTGCTGTGGCCGTCACCCTGCCTCGTCTGGAAGGCCCCTGGGTGCAGGGCTGTGGGCCTGACGCCCTCTGTGTCCCCGGCTGGCCCAGGAAATGGCTGTGGTGGTGGGTGGTCAGAGCTTGGGGGCCTCTTTCAGGACCTCCAGGTCGGCCGCTGGGATGCGAGTCTGAGGGCTCCAGTGGAGCGGAAATGAGGAGACTGGGAAGTGAGGCGGCCTGAGACCTTGATTTCTCTCCTCCTCTCTTCCGCTCCAGAGCTGAACAAGAAGAGGACCAAAGGCCAGAGGAGGTCACTGCTTCTCAAGAAGCCCCTTCGCGTGGACCTCCTCCTGGAGAACACCTCCAAGGTCCCTGCCCCCAAAGAGTGAGTGTCCCGCCCCGGCCGCCGCTTTCCCGCTGGGTCTGGCCTCTGCCCTTCTCTGCAGCCGCCCCCACCCTCTTCCTGGCCCTAAGGTAGTTCCTGGGGATGGAGGGAGATAGGTGAGGGTGCCCGGAGGCCAGGGATGGGTAAGATTTGGGCTTTGGAGAGCGGGTTGCAGGGAGTGGGGCGGGGGCCAGTGCTGAGCCGGCGGGGGTGGGGCCTGGATCCGATGGGGGTGGAGAGGAGCGATGATGGGAGCCACAGGCGGGAGGCGGATCCAGCCGGCTCGGTGACTGAGTCCTGAACGAGGAGGAGGGTGCGTGACGGGGTGCACAGCAGGGTCACCCCGAGATGGGGATGAGGAGGAGGCGTGGCTTTGGGAGCGATGCTCAGGTCGGCTTGCAGGGGGTCTGTGCAGTGCCTGGGAGACATCCAGGGCGAGGGCCCCAGAGGCCGTCGTGTTGTTGAGTCTGGGGCTCAGGAGGGGTCCAGGCTGGAGACAGACCTGGGGAGCTGGTCTTGAGCACTGGACAGAGGGAGGAGGAGAAGCCCTAGAAAGTTTGTCTTGTGGAGGGCGCCTGGGCGAGGAGATGCTGCGGGAGGAGCCGGGCCCCTTCTCGGGCCTCTGCCTCACCCGCGTCACCTGTGCCCCTTCTCCCCGACCCAGCATCCTTGCCCACCAGGTCCCCAACGCCAAGAAGCTCAAGCGGAAGGAGCAGCTATGGGAGAAGCTGGCGAAGCAGGGCGAGCTGCCCCGGGAGGTGCGCAGGGCCCAGGCGCGGCTCCGCAACCCTCCAGCGGCCAGGGTCAAGCCAGGGCCTCAGGACACCATTGAGCGGCCCTTCTACGATCTCTGGGCCAAAGACAGTGAGTACCCATGTTATCGCTTCTTGAGTGGGGACTGGGCTGCCATGCACTCTTGTGCAGGTTGTGCATTGCACCAGAGCACCGTGTCTAAGTGAGGAGCCCTGTGGATGTTGCTTTGACCGTCTTCAGCACCTTGGGCGTCTTGAGGTGGTGTCCTCTTCTCATTCGTCCTCCCTTTCCTGAGGGCTGATTCCTGCCCCCAGCCTTGGGTCTCTTCGGCTTTCTGGACCCGTCCAGGTGCTCTTGTGTCCACCATTTAAAGTCCCCTGGGGTCTGAGATTCAGTCCTTCCCTCGCCTATGCTTCAGTGCCGTGTTTACGAAGGAAGGAGGGATCGAGGGACCCCTCAGGGCCCCGGCGTTTTCCCACGCTGGAAAGCCCCCAGCAGCCGCCCCTTGCTGCCCCTACAGATCCTCTGGAGCGGCCCTTGGCTGGCCAGGACCCCTTTTTCCTGGAGCAGACCAAGAAGAAAGGCGTGAAGGTGAGAGCGCGGCAGGAGGGTGTCCTGGGGTGGTGGTCAGAGGAGGAGGGGCTGGGGGCAGCGGGGACGCCTCTGCCTTCAGGCCGTGGGGCCTTGGTCGCAGAGCCCGGCTGTCCCGTGACCAAGGACGCGAGTGGGAGCCGGGCAGCGAGTGCTCGTTCCGCCGTCCTGTCCTGAGCCGTTTTGCCCAGGAGAGCGGAGGGAGGTGGAGGCAGCTCTGAGGAGCTGGGGTTGACCGGGTGGGCGCACCGGCCTGGGAGGGGATAGCCCAAGAGACAAGCCTCGGCCAGAAGCTCCAGGGCTGGGGGGCACTTGGGTGGGGGAAGGGGATGGGGCGGGGGGCGTCCTCTTGCCCCCAGGCTTCTGCTGGAGTCTGGGGGCCTCTGCTGGGCTGGAGACTGGCCGGGCGGTGCTGTCGGCCCGCGTGCCCTCACGTCCCTGTGGTCTGTTCAGACGCAGGTGGGCCTGGGGTGCTGTGTTGCTCACAGACACCCCCGGGGATCGGGGGCTGCGCCTTCAGGGTCTCTCGGCCGTGCGCTGCACTGACAGACCGAGGGAACCTTGTTCCTCTGCCCAGCACCATAGGTTTCAGTGACAGACGGACGTGACTAAGTTCAAGGTCTGCTGTCCCATTTGTTTTTGCAAATGTCGCCCCTTCCAGCTGTGGGGTCCCAGGGCCTCCTCTCAAGAAAGGCGGGCAGAGCCCCTACATCGGGGGGGCTTGCTCATCCTGGGGTGCGGCTCCCGGGGTACCACAAGTCTGTGGCCCCAGACGCCGGATCCCCAGGCGCCTCCCAGCTCGAAGGCTGTGGGCCGTGTGGAGCCCTCTCGCTTCCTGGGCCTCACGCTGCCCTGTCCTGTCCTCCCCCAGCGGCCGCCGCATCTCCACGCCAAGCCCTCCCAGGTGCCTGCTGTCGAGGTGACCCCGGCCGGAGCCTCCTACAACCCATCCTTCGAGGACCACCAGGTGCGCAGCCCTGCACAGGCTTCTCCTCGGTTGTCCCCTGACTGCTTGGTTGGCACGTCCTCGCCAGGCCTTCCTCCGTGCCTGCCTGGTGCTGGGGACTCGGCTGTGACCAAGACAGCCCTGGGCCTGCCCTCCTGGTGCCTGTGGTTTGGTGGGGAGACACACTTGTTTTTAGACAGTGATGACCCAGAGAGAGCAGGACAGGGATGGGGGACCTCGAGGGGATCATCAAACCCAGGCTTGAGGATCAGGGATGACTTCCTGTAGGAGGGGATATCAGAGCTGAGACTGAAGGCTGGGGAGGAGGTTACTGGGGGAAGAGGGGAACCAGTGTTCCAGGCAGAGCTAGAGGATGTGCAAAGGCCCGGGGGGTAGGCAAGACTGTGTCACCTTTGGGAAGTCCACAGGACAGAAATGCAAAAGGCCTTAACGGACTGTTAGCAGGTAAACCCTGGGACTCCGTGGGATTTATCCGAGAGCTAGGATAGTTTAGTAACAGGAAAAGCTGGCTGTGAGAATCACTGTTCGTTTCACAGACATCTTTTGAGTACAGGTGTTGTGAACAGAAGGGACAAAGGCCCTGCTTTTTGGGGGCACAGGTTCCCAGAGAGGTGGAGCAGACGTGAGGTTAAGGATGAGAACGCTCCCTGTGGCTGCTGCCAGGAGGTGTGGGGGAGGGGTGCCCGGGCCTCACCGCACCCCTGCCTCCTCCAGACCCTGCTCTGGGCGGCCCACGAGGTGGAGCTGCAGCGGCAGAAGGAGGCGGAGAAGCTGGAGCGGCAGCTGGCCCTGCCCCCCGCCGAGCAGGCCGCCACCCCGGTGAGCCCCTGCCCACCCTCCTGCTCCCCCCTGCCCTGCCCTGCCCCCCGGCCCTGACTCCCCCTGGCCCGCAGGAGTCGGCCTTCCAGGAGCTGTGCCAGGGGCTGCTGGAGGAGTCGGATGGGGAGGAGGAGCCGGGCGAAGGCCAGGAGGAGGGAGCGGGGGCCGGAGGAGCCGAGCCAGGAGGAGCCGAGGCCTCGCCTGTCCCCAGCCGCCCAGCCGCCTCGGAGAAGAAGACGGAGCAGCAGCGGCGGCGGGAGAAGGCTGCACGGACCCTGGTGAGCACCGCGGGGTCTGGTGTGCTCTGCCGGCCCCCGCAGCCTGATTTCTCGTGCCGTTTGGGGTTCTTGCAGCTGCCTCGTCAGCCGACACCTGTTCCCTGAGCTCTGGGCTCCGAGGACGTGTCAGGGAACCTGCTAAATCAAGTCTCCGCTGCCCCGTGTTTGGGGGGGTGGGTGAGGGGAGTGGTGGGGGCGGGGGGTGGATGGACCTCAGCCCCCGGAGGTGTGGGTGGGGAAGGTCATTTCCGAGAACAGCTGTGCAGATGCTTCAGCAGTCGGCGGGTTGTGACCTGGGATCTGGTGGCCGGGAAGGGTCTCCAGGTGGAGGTGGCTGTGGAGGGGCCCCTGGGGCTGGCCCCTGACCCCACCTGTCTCCCAGCGGGTGCAGCAAGCCGCGGTACGGGCTGCCCGGCTGCGACACCAGGAGCTCTTCAGGCTGCGTGGGATCAAGGTGCAGGTGGCGCGGCGGCTGGCCGAGCTGGCGCGGCGGCGGGAGCAGCGGAGGGCCCGGCGGCTGGCTGAGGCGGACCGGCCCCGCAGGCTGGGGCGGCTCAAGTGAGGCGTGGGCCGGGGCTCCGGGCAGGCTGGGTGGGCCCACTCCCCGTCCCGGTGCTCCCCACCTTTGCTGACCCTGGCCCGCCTGGCCCCGTGTCTCCAGGTACCAGGCCCCCGACATCGACGTGCAGCTCAGCTCGGAGCTGTCAGGGTCGCTCAGGACCCTGAAGGTACTCTTCCATTTGGGGCGCTGGGTGCTGTCGGGGAGACCCCCGTGCTCGAGGATGACACTCATCCTTGCTCCCCGTGCCCCCAGGGGCTGTGGGCGACATCGTGGCTGCCCCGGGCTGGGCCAGTTGGGCTGATGCCCGGGGACTGAGGGCACGGGGGTCCCCAGAGGTGGGGCCGGGTGACAGTTTGAGCCTGTGGCTCTCAGAAGGCCTGTCCTCCCAGCTAGGTTCCGTTGTAGTCCCTGGGGTCTCCCTGAAGCTCAGAGTGGACTCTCTCCCTCTCTTGCTCAGTCAGACCTGCCATGGCTCCCCAGTGCCCCAGGAGGAAGCCCTGCTTCTGACCCAGCCCGGGCCCTGTGTGCTCTGGTTTCCTGTGCGTCATCAGTGGGCCGACCGATTGCCCTTCCTCCTCTGACCCCTGGCCTTTGCCCCCGCCACTCCCACTGCCTAGTTGGCCTTTTCCACTTGTTCACCAGCCTTCCTCTTGATTGTTCCAAATCCAGGTCAGGGGCAGCTTGTGGGTCAGTGCCCATCACCCCATGAGCTCAGGGCCAGGCCGAGCCTTGGCTGCCCACCGGGTTTCTGCACGGCCTCCGCTGAGGCCTCCCCGTCTCTCTGTCCCACAGCCCGAGGGCAACATTCTCCGTGACCGGTTCAAGAGCTTCCAGAAGAGGAACATGATCGAGCCTCGGGAGCGAGCCAAGTGAGGGCCGGGCTGCCGGGGGTGGGGGTCGGGGGAGCCAGCGCCCTCCCTGCGCCTGGCGTCCTGCTCACCCGCCGCGCTCTCTTCCTGCTCCAGGTTCAAGCGCAAGTACAAGGTGAAGCTCGTGGAGAAGCGGGCCTTCCGCGAGATCCAGTGAGTGGCGCTCCCCTTCTTCTCCGTGGTGGTGGCCGCCGGGGCCTGGGGTCCATCCCCAACCTGGTAACTGGCCAGTGGTTGAGTGACGCGCCCCTGGCCAGGCCCGGGAGACAGTCAGCTCACCAGCAGCACCTGCGCCCAGAGTGGAAACGGAAGGGCCGGAACCAGAGGGCGGGGTCCAGCGGGCGAGGACGCGGGGCTCCCTCCACCCTCGTGCGTTCTCAGCCCCTTCTTCTCTGTCCCCAGGTTATAACCGCTGTGCCATGCTGGAGCCCGCACCCCTCAATAAAGCCCCCCTGACCCCCACCTCGAGCCTGCGTGTGCCTCGTCTGCCTCTGCGGGCAGCTTCTCTCTGTCTGTCCCCCTCTAGCGCAGGAGGACATGGGTACTGGGACATTCCAACAAGGGCTGTGAGAACCGGGGGGTTGCGGGGCCGTCCAGCATCCCAGGAGTGAGCAGGGTCTGGAAGAGTGTGGAGCGATGGCCTGCGGGCTGACCGGGGTCAGGGGAGCGAGGCCAGGGTCCTCGCCTGCGTGTCTGGCAGGGGGAGGAGCCTGCTCCTGGCCCCCGGGAGTGGGAGGCACATCTTGGGTCCAGCTGTGTCCCGTGGGTGTGGCCGCAGCTCAGGTTGGCCGAGTGCCTGCTGGGCCTTTAGGCTGATGGAGGCCCTCACGACAGCTGGGCGAGGGGGTGGGCGTACCCCATCGCAAGGCAGGAGACGGAAGGCGACACAGAGGGCTGACTTTCCTCTCCTCCGCTCCTGTGACTCCATTAAAAACGTTTAAATCTGGTTCTACAAGTTATACAGAAGTCTGTTGTCACCGTAAGCCACTGATATGGTGCGTAAAGATACCAAAAAAGGGGTGCGTGTCACCCGTGACCTTTGCCCTACATTCAGACACACTCCTACTGGGCGGAGTGGGGGCTGTGCGTGTTGGCGTGAGCGAGTCTGCTCTGTTCCACGTGTGATTCTGTTAAGTTACAAACACATACATGTGAAAGTGGAATTGTGATTTTTCTCTTTTCTGGATAGAATCATTCCATTCGTGGTTCTCTAACCTGTTTCTCAGGGCATCTTGGAGAACTTTCTGTGGAGGTGCAGAGTTCTCCCTCTTTTTCGCAGCTGCATAGACTTCCACGTGAGCAGGCCATAATCCACTCCCCTGGGCCCTGCAGCTCCTCCCAGTGAGGCGGGAAGGGAGGGGTATCTGTCCACGTGCTGGGTCACATGTGTCTGTGGGACAAATACCTGCAAGTGAATCCTCTGGGCTAAAGGAGAAGTATGTCTACAAGGTTATTTGATGAATTCAGCAAAATTGCTCCCGTAGGTTGTGCTGATTTCTGCCTTCTGCAGCCTAGGAGCCCACTAGTTTGCTCGTAGCTTTGCTCCTGCGTGATCTCGCTGTCTTTATTTTATTGTGCCTGGTTACTGCTGAGGTTGAGCGTCTCTTCATATCACTGCCTGTTTCCTCTTTGGTGCTGTTTCAAACCTTTTCACCATTTTCCTCCTGGGCTGTCATTTTCTTGTTTACTTGCAGGAGCTCTTTATTTATTGTGGCTCCAGAGTCTGCCGTACATGTTGGAAACATTCCTTTAGACCTTGTTTGTGGTATTTTTTCTCAGACAGAAATGTTCAGCGTTTTTAGTTTTCTGTTAGTCTTTGTGCGTTTTCTCATTATGGCCTTGGGGAAGGTTTCTTCAGGACAAGACTTTATCAAAGGAGAGCAAGCAGTTTATAGAAGAAATGGATGAAGGGAGAGACTAACGTCAGCCCTTTCCCCCACCACATCCCGTGAAACATCATGACTTGAAGGAACTGCTCCTTCCCCTCTCATCTTAGAAATAAAAAGGAACGTTGTGCAGACGAGAAAGCAGCTTTGTGTGTGTGTGTGGGATGGAGGGGACAGAGGACAGGAGCCAGCAGGGTGAGGGGAAAATCGGGGCCACTCAGTGTCTGCCAAGGAGCCTTGAGACCCGGCCTCGGCTCCGGTAGGCCCACTCTGGGGAGAGAGTCTGAAGGAACCTGCTGGGAGAGGGGAGAAGATTCTTCATGCCCAGAGATGGCATCCAATGTGTCGGTACCTGGGGCGGGGTCGTCACAGCTGCTCAAGGGCACGTCCCGCACCTGGGCGGGAGGCAGAGTCCTCAGCAAGTTCTCGCAGCTTCGTTGCCTGGGGACGTGTGCCCGTTCCCACGTGTGTAAAAAACAGGGTGGGAGCAGACACATTTGTGCGTTTATTGCACATAAATTACATTTCATGTTTAGATTTTACAGTGGAATAAAAAAACCGCCCAAGTCTAGTTAAACGGTTTGCAAGCTGAAGTGGCGCCCTGCTGGCGGCAGCTTCCCGGGGAGGCGCCACCCTGAGGCGGGTTCCTGGACGGAGGGGAGATGGCCCGGGTCCCGGATGCGTCATGGGACGAGCCCAGTGACCTGCGAAGGGTGGAATCTCTGGGGGCGGGTGTAAGGTGTTCACAAGAAAACCCTCGACTTTCCTGTTGGAAAATTTTCCTAATTATTATGGGGAAAAAGGTGCCTTGGGATCCAGTGTGGTGCTACTGGGGCTTAAGTTTCACCGCCACATATTTGCTCTGGTCCCTTCCAAGGCCCTAGGCCTCCTTTCGAATTTGTAACTTCCTGTTTTTCCTAAAGCAGGTTCCCCCAGTTGTCAAGGCTTCAGGCCTTTCTGGATCTGCCTCCGATGGCGATGTAAAAAAAAAGTCGGAAGAACCACCCACCACTTGGGTAAAGGCTGAGGAAATGACGGTACATCTGACTGCAGAATGAGCCTGACAGGCCTGTTGAAAAGGTCAGGGGCCATGTGTAGGCAGCAGCCTAGAATTGCTAAGAGCAGCAACCCGATTTCAAATCCCACTTCTGTTACTTGCTAGCTGTGTGACCTTGTGAAGGTTACTCAACCTCTCTGTGCCTCAGATTCCCCATCTGCAAAAGGGATGTAGTGATGGTGCTGACCTCGCTGTGGGTTGTTACAAGGATTAAATGAGTCTCACAGGAAAGCTCTTGGAACAGGGCCTAGCACGGAACACGCCCTAGGTGAGTGTTGGCTATTGTAACGTTGGGGAAAAAAAGGTAGAAAAAACGTGGAAACTTGCAGTCTGTGCCAAAGACTGCTCACAAATACTCTCACCTTTTGACCCCATTGTGCTCTTGGGAACGTGTCCTAAGGAAGCGGCCGGAAGTCTGGGGACAAGCATATGGCAGAGGCAGGCCAGCTGGCAGAGCGCTGGGGAGGAGGGTGCCGCCCTGAGGAAAGCCGCAGGGTCTCCCCGTCCGCACTGTGCTCAGCCCACGCCCCCCGTACAGAGCCCCTCGGGGGGACTCCAGGACACTCCTTTTCCTTACGACTTTCTCCAGCTTTCCCGAGTTTCCTATAACGGAGAAAACTTTAGAAAATGGGAATTGAAAATGCGGACAAAGGCTCCTCAGTGTAGGCAGCAGGGGTCTGCCGGGAACCCTTCGGAGGATTAGAACCAGAAACGGTCCCAGCTCAGAACGAGGCGGGGGATGCTTGCAGGCTGGCTGTGTACATAGTGGGCTGTCCCACCACCGTTGAAGGAGAAATCAGCTTTTGGAAGACTTTAATGACCTGGGGAAATACAGCGTGTCTCAGAGAACTTTGAAATGGGCAACAAGACCCAGTATGACCTGGATGCGTTAAAAGGGGTGCAGACACGCGGGCAGAGGCCTGGGTGACACCTGAGCCCCGAGGGTGAGCCGTGGGCAGGCGTCTCCTCCCTTGGCTGCTGTGTCTTCTCATTTCTCCCCGTCCCTCACTGGGGACACGGCTGGGCCGGGCAGCCTCCCCAACTGTCCTCGTAGCAGAGGCCAGAGGCGGCAGCCGTGTCACCCAGATGCCCTCGAGCTGGACTCGGACGTGGCACAGGCTTCGGTGGTTAGGGTCCCTCCAGAGCTGGGACCCTGGGTCACGGCCAGGCTGGGTGCTGCTGAGCCCCGCAGTTCAGAGGCAGCAGGGCCCCGGCGCGTGGCTCTGTGCTGTCGTCCTGGGTCCTTCCCAAGGGCCCGGCCCAGAGCCGCTGCCCCAGCCTCCCGCCATCTTGTGAGCACCCAATTCCCCGTGTTAAACCCCTTCCTGTTTGAAGCACCTGCAGTGGCTTCTGTTTAGGCTCCAATCCCACCTGAGGCCGCGACGCGTTGCTTTTATATGCAGGAAAATCAAACATCGTGTGTTCTTCCCTTTGCTTTAGTGATGATAATGTCATTAAAAAAATTAATGCTTGGTCTGTATGTCCCAGGTCCTTGTTCTGGTCCCAGTGAGACGGGCGACTGTGACTCCCATTTTACAGCTGAGGAACCTGAAGCACAGACAAGGGAAGTGTCTTGCCCAGATCTGAGATTCCAGCCCGAGTCATGACCATTCACCCTTTGAAATAACGGCCCTTCCATTTGTCCTCACCCCCTCTCAACCCCCCAGGCACTAAGGATAAATACTGAGTCTTCTCCTAGTACCTGACGTTTGAACAGAGACTAGAGTAAAACGAGGGAGACAGCCATGTGGCTATCACAGGGTAAAGCTTTCCAGGTAGCGAGAACAGCCAGTGCAAAGGCCCTGGGGGTTGGGAACCTCAGGAAGGGGAAGGGAGACCTGGATGCCTGCAGCCAAGAGAACCAAGGAGAGAGCGTGGGAGGTGATGCAACCTGGGACCAGGTAGTGCAGGGCCGTGCGGACCACAGGAGGAGAGAGTCAACAGATTGTAGGGGATGTGCAATGAAACAGAAACCCAGCAAGAAAGCTACTGTAGCAGTCCAGGCAAGAGATGACAGTGCTGGACCAAGTGGTCTCAGGGGAGGTGAGAAGTGGGCAGATTCTGGATACATTTTGAAGTTGAAATGCCCAGATTGACTAAGAGGCTGCAAGCGGGTGTGAGAGGGCTGGAGGGAGATCAAGGGTGACACCAAGGAAATTCTGGGCAGAACATTGGGATGGATGGAGGTGCCACATTCCAGAAAGGAAACTCTGAACACCTTCCTGGCTGGTGGAGAGATGCAGAGGGAGACAGGGAGTGAATGAAAATGGAATGAATGAATGGAGCGGGTCAACAGAGTCCGGGACAACTCAACTGAGAGTGCGTTTGGGCAGAGAAATCCAGATTGGACTCTGGCGGATTAAACCTGAGCTGCCTATTAGGCTTGTAAATGGTGATGTGGTGGGAGTGACTGGACACGGGTCGGAGCTCAGGGAACAGGGTGGGGTGAGCCTGGGGTGGTCAGCGTGTGGGCGTGGGTGGCATTTGAGGCAGTGGTTACTAGGAGCCGAGTGTAGACAAAGTGGGGAAGGAGGAGAGAGGAGGGGGGATGGAGGAGAGA